CTTGAGTCATGGGCGTCGCTGGCTCTGTTTCTGGTTTCGATTACCAGGACGTGTTCACTAATAGTTATAATAATATTGGCTATAATTTTGCCATTAGCAATATTCAGCTCAAACCTGAGTAAAAATAAGTAAATAATTTACTGCGCTGCGCATTAATGATTTATTATTATATTTTGCTTTAACTTTTTGCTTCGACGCCGCTCACACAAGCTTATTACCGCATGCCACATGGGCAACATTAAAGCCCACAAAGAGGACAACGCGTTATGAGCCCTAAGCTAAGCTACTAGTTTCAGGACAGCACAAAGTAAATGCCAAAGACATTAATTTACGCAAACCGGACAAATTAATGTGAAGTTTTGCATATGCGATCCCTCTAGACAAGGCCGCTCTCTTGTGGCAGACAGGCAGATAGACCCACAAAATGGTGGGTCGAGCGGTGGCCTGATATAATTATGCAAATGTCCGAGAGCCGCAGCGAAACCCTTGTCAAGCTGCTCGCAGCGTTTATCATTGTCGAATCGAAGTTGGATTGTGGCCAATAATAATACACACACATAAACACTCGGCAGTAAATGTGTGTTTAGCTTGGCTATTGTTGCTTTTTGACATAAAGCTTATATTTAATTTATTTTAAATTCACATCCCTTCGTGTATATGCCATAGCCGGAAAAGTATTTTTGTATTTTGCTTTTATCAGCTTTTTGAAACTGCACAAAAGACGCGGCTGCAAAAGGGCTGCGTCTCCTGTCGCATGCACATTTAAAATTAATTGAAACTAATAATGTATTTGAAGTATGCAAATACTACGCCACCGGCGTGCTGGCATCCGGTGTACAAGCCACCAGCGGTGGCTAAATTTAATTTAAGGCCAAAAGCGACACAGTTGTTTGTCTTAACCATGGTAATGGGGCGCGTTCTCGCGAGTGCCTTTGTGAAAGTTTTAAACTGAAGCGGAAATACGAGACCCGAAAACCAATGCCCTGTCATGGCGCTTGCGGTGCTGTTAAAATGGCGATGGACTACCAAAAATCAGAAGCCAGCAGATAAGACTCCTTTCAACGAGAGTGCCCGACTGGAAGATGACCTGTAAACAGTATTGATTGAAAGCGGCAAATTTAAAGATAGTCTGAGTTAAACTTTATTTGACTAGCTGTACCTCGTATGATCTCTGAATTCCCTGCAATCGGAGCTATTTGACGAAGCAAATATTTCAACATAAAATCTTTTACAATGGACTTGTACATGGTCTTTTTTCTTGAAATGGAAGGTTTATTTGTATAAGGCTGACAACTTACAACCTACATACTAACTTGGCCAACTCTATGTCTTTTATTGGCCTTTCAGCTATGATACTATTTCGTCTGCTGCTCTCGCACACAACTCTATGGTCTATGCAGGGTATTTAAATAAACTCGTATTTTATTTTTGTTGATAACTGTTCTAAAATTACCTAAGCTGTGTTCTTGCCACAGCATCCGGACAACGTCAGCGAGCCACAAACGGTCCTCGAGAAATCATATTTAGCATGGTAATTATTTATCTTTGTACTCCCTGCGTGGGGCAGATTTCAACAGCCCCCACCCCCCCTCTCACATCCTATTTTAAGCGGGTCCGTTTGGCATCATTAAAATCATAAATCTCATGGACAGCATCTGGCAACTGCAGCTGAACATTATTTGAGTTATGGTATTTTTTTATTCAACATTTTCCTCGCTTCCGTTTTTGAAGACAATGTTGATGATTTTTCTGATGCCAGGGGAATTTTCAAATAAAAACTAATTCTATTTATGTATTTAAACTGCAAGCAGTGCTTAAGTATTAGTTTACACTTATAGAGCATTTGGGGAAGCGAGCGGCAATGTTGAGAGTGGAGAGTATTCGAATAGCTTACACCCTACTGGGTCACTTCTGCAGCGGAACATCTACTAATATATCCGATTGAATGGCAACGTTAGCACTGTCAAAAGTTGTTCATATCCTATTTATTATTGACTTTTTGGAGGTTAGGATGTGTCGTTCTCTAACGGATAATATGCCTTTAAGGAACTAGACCAGATCTTAAGTTAATGAAAATTCTCTAAATAATTTTGTAGGTACGTTGAATTGTGTTTCGTTCGACCCACAAATCATTCAAAAAGATGTTTAAATATTGCCCAGACAATATTTTTAGACGTTCGTTTAACGTACAGTCCCTAGCTAAAGCTTATTAAAACTCTACATATTCAGCCCAAATAGAGGATTAGCTAAAGGGTACCACAAGCAGATTACACTGAGACCCTCAAGAAAAATGAGGGATTTTTTAGTTATGCCAAACCCTTTTACTGCGTAACATATGAATTGTATTTGAAATAATTTAATGAATAAAACGAATCGAAAATATACTCAGATCGGGCAACAATGCCCCAAAAATTGTATTCATGTTTAAATATTTTGCTTCAGCTCGAATCGCACTAGGCTTGAGCTAAGCCACCTGCTGGCAACATCAAAGCACGTCTCCTGCAACAATTTGCTGCTTGTTGCTGTTGTTGCTGTTGTAGCTATTTGTGCCTGTGGTTGGGGCACAGGTGTTCGATTGGGCCAAAAGTCGCACAGCTAAGGGCAGGCACTCGCCGCAGCTGATTAGCATCGGCTTAATTAGTTGGGTTATTTGCATGACCCAAGGCGTACAATCAAAAACATGCGTTCAGCTATTTATTTAGGCTCGTTTCGAGAGCTGGCAACCGCCCACGAGCACACACATTGCTAATTATTAAAAATAAAAATGAAATATAGAAGCGTGACCAGGCGGCTGACAAGCTGGCTGGGGCGAAAATTTATGGCTATTTAGTTTAGCACTTTTCGGCCAACCATTGTTGGGGCTTGGAAGGCTCTGGCTTAATGGCTTATTTGGATTATTAATTCATAGCGCGCCGGCAATTACAGCAATACTCAACTATTGCAAGTGACAAGCTTGCGTACAGTTCAACATGAGCAGCAGCTGTGGCATACAACAAGACGTCTATGGTTGCCCCCCTTTGAGCATGCCCAATAAAACATGTCAAAAGAGTCCCAGAATGTTGGCGCCACGTATGGGGATGGAATGAGTGGGTGTGTGTGTGTGTGTGTGTGTGTGTGTGTGGTATGCCTGCCTGTGGTTTGAGCAGGTGTGCGCACTATGGTCGCCCCTAGAAGCATGCAACATGCTTTAACTCACCAAAGCCACTCGCGCGACTGGGACTCGAGTGTGTGTGCGTATGTGTGTTAACTATGTGTGGTGCTGGCTGCTTGACGTTTGTTGATTTTGTGGTACTAATAAAATACACGCGCCCGGCGCCAACGCTCGAATGCAGATAAAAAAATATAATTAAAAATTGTTGTTGTGTGTCGCTGCTGTATGCTGCTGCGGTGTGTTGCTGCATAATTCGCACAACAGCAGAAAATCCTGTTTGGCTTTTTATGCCCGCTTCGTGACTGTTTCACTGATACATGCCTTAACAGTATACCACATGTGCTTCGGTTGTGTGTGTGTGTGTGTGTGCGCGTGTTTTATGACTTTGCCATAAAGTTAATTCAAATTTTGGTTTGGTTTTTGCATGTAGAGAGAGTCGCTCACATTACCCTGGCTATAGCCTAGTTGGTTCTGAAATTAAGACTAGCTGCAGCTGGCACTAATCCGTTATATTAAACAGCTAAGAGAAATAGTGTCCTGTAATTGGTAGCAGCTCAAGCTGAGAGCTTTAAGTCCAATGGATATTGTTATGGAAATACAATTTATCTAGCTTAAAGTTGTGCTGTGCGCTAAAAAATGTCGGTGTAAATAAATATAAAATGTTGAACTTTAAGTCAAATATGCCTGAATTGTTATATGATAGGTTTGAGCTTAAAGATAAATATCTTGTATTCATAGAAAAAGAGATTTTGTACACAAAAAAACAAAACGAATTTTCTCTAACTAGAGCCAAGTTTGAAATTTACCTTAACTAAAGACGAAATGTTTTATTTAAAATTCCTTTAAACACCTTGCAAATACATGCAAATTTTTTTAATTTTCTAAATCCGTACTCGTATTTTTTCTATATTTCTTTTCAACATAAACGAAAAATTGTTAAATCAAGTATGTTTTATGCCTAATTACAAAATGAGTTAGGAAGAAAGTGTACATGAAATTGAATATATAAAACTCACCACAATAAGTTTCTCTGAACATGAAGATCCTAAGTTCTTATTGCTATCCGAAACGCTGTTGTTTTAAACTCTAAGATATAAGATGCATTTAAATTAATTTAAGGGACATTTAACTGACATTTACATTTCGCTTAAACAAGTGGCCTGTCACATGGATTCCGGCACAATTATAATACACATTTAATTGCCTGACTAATCCGCACAGCACAACAATAAACCATTTGCTAGTTTGCTTAATTTATTCGAACCAATATGTAAACTGTGCCTAAATACTTAATACTCGTATTCATAATTTTTGCATTTGAAAACCATTTTAAAAAATCCGTAACAAAATGAACAAAAAAAAAGAATATTAAATTTTAATCGACTAATGACAACTATTTGTGTGTTCTTTTTTCTTTATCTCTTTTCATCAATAACCACTTTTATGCTGTTGTTTTCATGCTCACACACAACAACCACACGCACACGCACACGCACACACACACACACACACACACACACAAACACACACACACACTATACGTGCTTCCAACTTTTGCTATTGCTCTCTCGCTCGCTCTTACCACCGCAACCACAACAACCACTTGTGACAACGCAAAATGTTATTTACCCCTTTTTTGTAATGTGTTTTTAATTCTCAACTAACTTTTAACTAACAATTTAACTAAAATAACTTCTATACGTAATTCTGTTATGTCCCGTCCAACTGGCCCTCAAACCAACCACCATTACAACAACAACGAAACATTTCCAACAAACCTAAACCCACCATAAACAACAACAACAACCACACAATCATTATCAACATCAATAATAACAACAACAGGCTTTTACGCGCCGAATTGTATGCGCTGAGGTGCAAGGTCGTTGGTGGAGCAGGAGCGCAGCCACAGCAAAAACCACTCGACGCCACACAACAACAACAACAACAACAATTAGACCACCACCACCCCCAAGAACAACAGCAAACAATGCAACAACAACAACAACATCAGCCTGAACACAAGAATCACAATAATGTACACAACGACTCGAGTCGCCACTGCGCCCGCTGCACCACCGAACTGGGCCGCATCACCAACCGCGGCGCCCCCTGCCGCGTCTGCAAACTGCGCGTGTGCAAAGCCTGTCGAGTCCATCACGCACTGGACTGGGTGTGCGTGGTGTGCCACAAGCAACTGTAAGTCTCTCTCTCTCTCTCTCTATCTCTTTCTCTCTGTCTCTTTCTCTTTCTCTCTGTGACACTCACCTTTATCTCTCGGTATTACCCAATCACTCGCACTCATCTGTACTAAATACTCTAATCACTCAATGTCTCACATACGCACACTAACTAAATAACAATATTCTATATATGTGCAGTCTTTGTGTGTGTATTTGTGCATGCCTTTGTGTGTGTGTGTGTAATATTCTTTTGTCTAAGGGTCAACTCTTGATTTTTTTGTATGCTTGAACAAATCTATTTAGAAAATCTATCTAGATATTCTTCTAGAGCCAAATTTAAATATTACAAGCTTTTCCGGCTCTGAATTGGCTTTCCCAAGCCTTATATACCCTATACTTTTCGACACGCTTGAAAAGTATGCAATGCAATATGATGATAAACATGGCAAACGGTTCGAGTCTCATAATATTTAAGTTTGATTTTCCGATTTTGACTTGGTTCGAGTTATAGAGCAATCGAGGTCAATCTTGGCTATATTTCACGGGATTATAGTTAACAAACCAAAAGAAATTATCACTAAAAAATGAGCAGGTTGTCTATGTAGCTATTTCAAAGAACATCCCAGTTTTATTATCAGCAAACTTTGCTATCGACTCTAGGATTGCAAGGACCTTGTCCTCCATTCAAAGCTTTTTTGCGAGCGCCAAGCAACCATAAGGTGCATAACGAAAATATAATAAATAAATACACAATGTTTTTTTATTTTAATATGCCAATCAGCTTAAATTCTATTGAAAATATACCTGCGAGTTCTTACTTTTCATTGTGCCGATTATATAAAGGTCAAACTTGCAGAAAGAATAGTTAAAACTTAAAAGACACTATCAGTTTCACTGAAAAGGTCAACAGTAAACTAAAATATATTGGGAAAAATACTTATTTTCAGCAAACGAAGGCAGCCGTCTGCTATGCTACTCAACAGCCGAGTACAGGGTAGCCCCTATCTATCAAGCAATCTCCCCTGGGGCATTCTGGCTCGTTAGCTTTTGCCTTCGCTGCAAATAGGTAAAGCTTACCCAGCATTTTCATTGTTGCCTGCTAATTTTGTGTTGTGCAACCAGAAATTGTCACCCGATGCGTACAAAAATAAATTTCCATGGGATCACATATACCGAAAGGGCATCCGATGACCCCCACTGACAGCTGATGCGTTGCATATTTCATGAGGCAACAGTTTGGGGCAATTTTGCTGTATTTTTGTGCTGCTCTCGTTGCAAGCCGAAAATTGCTGGAAATTCTCTCTGTATGTGTGTGTGTGTGAGTAAGTATCATGTGCGTTTATCCATTTTCACTTTACAATTTTCGATTGAAATGCATTTTGGTCACTTTTGTAATCGCATACGAAATTTACAACGCCTTTATTCTATATATGTTATATCCAAAAATAAACATCAACATTTGATATTCAATTTTCATTTGCACTTGAGCGGCTGCTGTTGCAAATATGTGACTGAATATTGCAACTGGAAACTGAACTATTTATTTTTATTTTTCTGCTGCACCAAATGGGTTTTTGTTTTCTAATAACAATGACTAAGCCGATACCATAGTGCTTTGCTAACTCAAAAACTATTTGTGTGTTGCCTGAAGTAAAATGAGAGCCAAGATTAAATTTTGCCCATTTACATCTTAAAGTTAATTTTTATGAAACCATTTGACAAACCTGCACACGCACTCAGAGAATAATCATTTGAGAAAAAAGTGTGAACGAGTTCAAGGTGAACAATGAGTTACAAAGAAAACTGGCTCAAGATGTTTTTCTTCCGAGTAGTTGTTACGAGCATAAGAGCATTACAACCAAAGACTATATAAAGATTTCCTTGTAAATTTATAGAAATAATGATGACAAAGGAAACATCCATTCGTAACATGATAAGTATGGCCAGTTGCAAACCTGAAAGTTATTGTAAAAGCGCAGAGAATGTTGCCCTTTCATTGCCAATTAGAACTAAGTACTATATAATGAGCCGAGCATTCATCAGGCCCATTGAAAAAGTTAGCTGAAAAGAGCTGATACCTCATTTGGAAGTGAACAAGTGGGAGTGCACTAGTGGGAGTGCACTAGTGGGAGTGCACTAGTGGGAAGTGCCTAACTATAAGACACACTGCGGTTACAAGCACTCTCGCTTCACACACACGCATATACATACATCTACGCATTTAATGCTGCGGCTATGCCACTTCTTATCTTTGCTCCGCACTTTGTATTATATGTTCTTGATTAACTTGGTTCATTGTCCATTGGTATAAATATGGCATCCAACTGTGTGTAAATAACAAAGCCCAAGAGGCTTCATAAAAAAAAGAAAATTTATAATTTTGTGGGGAACAGTTAATGGGAAATAAATAAATCTGTACTTACATATAGTGCAGAGAGATATAGAATTTGATCCATTTATTGAAAACGGACTTAAAACTAACTAACTAATCGCATGCACAGATTACAGTTCAAAATTTCCAGTCTAACATAGATCAACTTGGCTGTTAATGGTGCGCAAGTATATATAGTATATACTTTATGGAGTCGGACACATATCCCTCCGTCTGTTTTAAACATTTGCACAAATCGATTATACCCGTTCTACCGACTTTCAAGGGGTTCAACTGTAAACTGGTAAACTGAGAAAAGTGAGTTCTGTTTTCAGTTCAGTTTTAGTTGGTAAGCAGCTTTTTAGTCGGAATTGGCTTAAAATTGCTGGATGCATAAGGATACAAGGATTCTTGGTAATTTCCTTCAAAATAATCTGTTTTGTGGCTGAAATGCAAGCTAATTGTAGGCGCTCAGCATATCCAAGAACTGGAGATTCGAAGAGCAGAAACATTTGGCGGAAATTTCATGGAATCATATTTTAATTGGGTTTTAATAGTAAACACAATTATTTAAATCCAAGCTCTTGTCATTCAATACGATGGAAATATGAATATTAACAAGTAATAAAAACTTTGCGGACTTCGATAAGTTTTGAAACTGTTGGCCAAGAACCCTGTAGGCGTCGTAAAATTAATTATTATTTTCAATCTGCTCTCAAGGAGATCAACACTCGTCCTTAAACCAAATTTATCTGACTTAATACTTTAAATTGTGGTACATTTTGTCAATGTGTGGGCGTGCAATTGAAATATTAACTGAAGCTAATAGACTCGATGCCGTATTTGATTAATAGTATCGAGTATCGAGTTTAGTCATATAAATATTACGCATACGCCCTGTTGCACGGAGTTCAGCATTTGTTAACTGCCCGAAAAGTAATGTAGAAACAAGTGTTGAAGTCTTTGCAGTTGCTGATGATGCTGTCAGGCGACCCACACGCTCCCCGAGTTCAGTGTTAATTGCCAAGCCCCGAAAAAAGTCGTAACAAAAAACAAAATTAAAAGTAAGCAAGGCCAGACGCAAGACTCTGAACTAATTAAATGTTGGCCAACGCAGCAGCAGCCAGAGCAGCCCGGGCAGCTACAGGGTAACTACATAGTATGTAAATTTTGGAGCTGCTTTGCGTGCTGAGAATTTGCCAAGATGCTGGCAACGCCCACAGGTGTCAGCCAAACTGACGCCTCCCAAATGGCAGCCAGCTGTCAACGCAGCCAGCAATTGCAGCTGCTGTGTGAAGAGATGTGCCCCACGCCCCCGCCCTCTCTGGTGAGGCGTTGCCTAGCACACATATCGTATGCCTCACTATATATATATATATATATATATATCTATCGATAGCTCTGACACTGGCTGCGTCTTTGATTGGAATTTGTTCATAAAGTCTGAAATGAAAAACGCCTGACAGTCTCCGAGTGGCTGCGCCCTCAACCAAAGACGCCTCCAGAGGAGCCTCTAGAGCACCCGCCTTGTATAGTCATTACGGTGTTGCGTCGTGTTGGTGTCTTGTCTAATGTTATGCCCTATAGATGGCAAAAAAGGAGCATATTGGTTGTGCGCAAACGTATGTGACAGCCCATGGGGGGCTTCTTCGACCAGTTAAGGTATTTCTTGAGCAGCATCATCAACCGAGGCGATCTAAGCCCAACGAAAGTTTTTAGTCGTTCACGGTTCAACCCAAAGGTTCCACTTTAAAACTTGTACCAGTACTGAATTTCTCGGTTCTCAATTATGACTCCAATTTTGATCATTTTCAAACAACTAAAAGAAATATTTAACAATTAAATGGTATGTTTTGGCTCAGGCTCACATAACTAGTCTAGTTAGAGGTCACGTTGAAAAATATTGGTATACCGAAAAACAATTTCTATAATTATTTTTTTAATTTTTTTTTAAAAGTGGAAAGTTATAAAATGAGAAACATATTTCTGAAAAGTTGAAAAATGTAAACAAGAAAGAAGTGTTTATGATTTTTCGTTATTGTAAAAAAAATTATAAAAATTTTTAGAATATACATTTTTCAAAGCCAAGAAATATGTTCTGAAATTTAGCAAAAATTTAATTTAATGGGCTAAGCCATTTACGGCAGTTTGGCGCTGAGTACAGGGTGTCTCGAGATCTAGCATGGTTGTTTTTTTTTTTTGTGTTTTTGTTTCAGTAAGTTTTGTTTTTGCTTGTGTCAGACACTCAGTCAGTTTGTTGGCTGTGGCTGACACGGGCAGACGTGTATTGAGCCATGTTAACGGATGTATTTTGGTGTTTTAAATGGAATTGGTCTTGCTGTTGTTCTTGCAGGGAGTTACAGGCCGCCAGCGGTGAGTGGCTGAAGGAAGCTTATGCGTCCTGCGAGTCTGTCGATCATTTAAGCACCAGCGACGTGCTGCGGAAAAGCATACGCCGCTCCTGGACCATATCAAGTGAGTCAGCTTAAAAGTAATCGAATTTTATTTGTGTCTGAACCATGCCTGCTTGCAGATCCCGAGGACGATCCGAATAATCCAAATTCGCAGCAAACCGTCGCCGACAATCTGTATCCACAGCAACAACATTTAATTGAGGCACAATCGGCGGGCAGCTATCCCTTGTTGCATCAACATACGCTGCATCAGCAGCTGCAGCAGCAGCAGCTGCAACAGCATCAGGCGCCCCCGCAGCCGCGCCAGGCGCACATCATTAATTATAGTAGCGGCAGTGCCACGCCCATTAGTGGGAGCAAGTGGCATTTGGGGCGTCGGGTTTTACGGCAATCGACGCTGCCCAGCACACTGAATAACGATCCGAATCTGAGCGGCAGCGGTGCCAATTTGGCTAACTACAATTCAGCGAATCTGACCGCGCCCACCTCGCCGCATAAGCTGCAGAACAATCCGCTCTATCCGAGCGCCTACAACAGCGACGATATCATCCACATGAACACCGCCGCCGACAACGACAACTACACCCAGATACTGATACAGCAGCCGCAGCCGCAGCTGGAGGCAGCGGCGAGTCCACCCACGCATAGCCATCGGCTGCAGGTGCGCCGCCAGTCGACGCTGCCGGCGAATCCGTGCCAGGCGCCGCCCACCATTTACATGTCCACCTCACCGAATCGCGTCTATAGCCGTTCGCCGGAACGGTCACCGGGCGAACAGCAGCGTTATACGCCCTTCACGCGCCAGACATCCTTCCCGGAGCCGCCGAGCAACTATCATCGCACCAAGTTGCTGCCCAGCACAGCCAATTTGCCGGCTCCGGCCAGCCAGTCCTCGTCAACAGTCACAACGGCCGCTGCGCCGCCGCTCAACTACGAATCGCAGGCATCCAGCATGGCCAGCGATGAGATGGACTATAGTCAGACGTTTGGCAAGCCGCGCATGATGCGCCAGGCCACATTGCCCAATCCCGATCAGCACGTCAAGCTGCTGCCCACATCGCCGCCCAAGCGCCAGACCTCTCCGCAGTTCCGACGCTCGCCGGAGTTTACACGCCAGCAGACGCTTCCAAATCCGGAGGCTTTTAGCAGCGGCAACACGCTGACCGTGCACCAGGCGCCACCGGCCAAATTTATGCCCATCTCGCCGCGCACCAAGCAGAACTTCTTGTTTCCCAGCGTGCAGAATCCGCGCCAGTTTCTCTCACAGCAAAATGTGCCCACTGTGGGCGCCGTGGATCTTGGCAGCGGCGGGAGCGTAGCCAGTACCGCCGGCGAGCAGTACTCGAGCAGCCAGAGCGTCAATATACACCATTCGCGCGATCCGCACTCCAAGATGATCAAGGTGCGCAGCCATAGCAACGAGGAGTACTCGAACAGCAACAAAGCCCATGTGGAGTGTCGCCGCCTGCTGCCCGAAATACCCACGACGCAGCGCTCGCAGAGCCGCTCTCCCAGCCGGCTGGTGCGGCAGGACTGCCTCAAGGAGCAGGAGCACGGCTCCCGCACTTTCGGCGAGGCCAAGCAGCAGTTCAATCAGTTTCCCGATGTCAGCGAAGAGCTGGAAACCCAGCCGGAATACGTCGACTACTTTGGCAACAGCGCCACTAGCTTCCTGGAGTCGGATGAGGTCCAGTACGAGAAGAACTATAATGCGGGCTTTAGCAGCGAACCGCGCATCATCTTCAACGATGGCTCCGACGATTCTCCCTACAAGCCGAAGCACACGCGGCCCATCTACAGCGCCGAGAACGTGCTGGCGGGCGGCGATGGTGGCTATGGCGCGGCTCCACTGGCCGGCTTCTATACGGACATGGGCGCCACGGGCCATATGATGCACAGCGGTGCGGCCCTGCCACGCACTCCGCTCATGCACAATCGAATGCGGCGACGACAGTCGCGGGAGCTGCCCATGCCGCAGGAGGAGTACGGAGCGGGCATAGCCGAAGCGGCTGCAGCGGCAGCGACAGCCACAGCCCCGGGCGCAGGTGCAGCAGGTGCCACGGCAGCAGGAACGGAGCAGAGCGCAGCAGATCGTCGCAAGCCGGAGCAAATGCGTTCCGTGTCGGAGGATTCTGGCGCCAAGACCGCGCCGAAGCCCATAACGCGTCGCTCCTTCTCGCATCCCGAAAAGGACTCAATGGTAACAGGATTAGTTTTGCCTTTGTCAAATGTTTTAAGCCAATCTAGGCCAACTTTTTGCAGCCACCTAAGAAATTGGAGACCTCGAAAATACCCAGCCCCCGACCGCTGGCCGATATATTGGATAAGACGCGTGGTGGCGTCTCGAAGATTCCCCAAGCGCGTCGTCGCAACAGTCGCGGCGAAGAGGGTAAGTCCAGGCTGACGATTTCTAATAGTTGCTCTAGTTGCTTTGTGCACCCGCGCAGCAGTAGAAACCTGTAGCTAGTTAGCCTTAGTTAGCTGTAGTTAGTTGCAATCACCCGATTTATTAAATTTGTGCACCCCCTCCCCGCTGCCGCATGCGGCACAAATATTAACCATTATATAGGTAGAGTACCACAGCATCACTACTCCTTCCATGAACTGCTTAAGCACCAGAACTCTGACCTATCCAATCGCTTGAAAAAAACGCCAATTCCCGTTAACACAGTCCCAGCTAAAGAGGACGAGCCGGCCGCAGCGAAGACGGCAGAGGCTAACGACAAATGTCCCAACGCTGGAAGCAACAAGGAGGCCAATGAGACGGAAGGCGCCGCAGCGGTAAGTGACCCCTCCCCGCACCCCGGCATATACACACACTAATCAGAGCCCCACAACTGATGCTTAATCCCTTCCAGCAGCACACCAGCACCTTGGGGGAGCAGGAGCTGCAGAATGCAGTGGAGGCAGCTGCCGTTGTCTTTAAGAAGGTCGTGCTGCAGCGACGCAAGGAGAAAGCAAAGGAGAAGGCTGCCGAGGAGGGTGAGTGCTAATGACCAACATCTCCACTAGCTCTTAAATTATGTAGTTTGTATCTGTATGTGTGTGTGTGTGTGTGTGTGTGTGTGTGTGTGTGTGTGTGTGTGTATGTGTATGTGTATGTGTGGTTACGGTTGTGGTATTGGTTGCGGTTGTGGTTGTGTGTGCTTGGCGCATAATAAGCTCGGTGACGGTGCCCTGTGTCTAACTTAAGTTTTTCACTGGGTTTCGCTTTTCCTCTAATTTTACGCACAAATTAATTAGGCGACACTTTGGAGCCGCACGGTGGCTAGGGGGAAGGGGAAACGAAGAAGTCCTGCGCTTGATGTGGGTCATTATTGCCTTTATCATTATTCACTCTAACGCACCCCATTGGCTTTTGTCCTGCTCTTAAGTATCTGGGTATAATTATAATTGCAAGCATTTTCCGAGATTTGTCAAAAGAACCCAAAACTCGGTCGGTTGTGGCTGGGAATAAGTGCATCACTTTGAGGGATTAAGGAATTTAAATTGTGACTGCCGCAATGCTCTTCTTTGATGCAGCTAAACAAAGAAAATATTTGCAAATTTAATAAACAGACGCTGCCCCGAAACAACACTCGATTTTAATAAACCCATTTCAATTGCCGCCTAAAAGTGTGCTTCACTTTTTGTGCATAGCCAAAAAATTGTGGAAAATGAAAACATGTTCAAAATTCTTTGATACTATATATTTACTGGAAATGGCAAGCATAACAATGTTATCTTTTGTGCGCACTGACTGTAGCGAGAACGAATTCGCAGCTTTACACTCTGAAAAATAAACTATAAACTCATTCAAAATTCCATATAACATCATCAAAATTTTGTGTGTTTTTACAATTTGAATTTGCAGAATTGAAAAGGGAATTAGAATGAATACATTATAATCTCTATAGCTAGAGCCGAAGAGTTTCAGTTGTTCGAACTAGATAAAAGCGAAAAGACGCAGTTATTCATTTATGATATATCATATCATAAATATCGCAAGGGAACGATAAGTTTCGAAAAATAACTACGTGAGATATTGGCCAAGGTTTAAAGATCACAGCTACTCTCATGTCTCGAACCAAACTAGTGTTGATATGGAAACGTCTGAGCTGATGGTCAGTGCTATTGAAAAAAGGTACCTTAAATCCTATACCTAAAAAAAAACTATTACTTATTAAACCGGATAGATTTGACACGGTATACAACTAATGCAACATTTTGAATAATCCTTTAAAATTCTTCAATTTAAATTATTTTTTCTTCAAATCATTTGCTGCTGAAGTTTGGCCTCAAACTAAAACAGAAATGTATGCAGCACAGTAATTAGAGTTAATTCCAAAATTTAAATTGTTCAGATAGATTATGGAAATACGAGTCAATAAATTTGGAAAAATCACCTTATCTCAATTATATAAGTACTTGAAAAATGTGAATATTTGTTAGAATGTTCACTCTTTCCATTTATTTAAAGGAAAGAAAATACCGCTCGTTCAAATGTTTCATTTCAAAAGGAAATTTAATTTTTTAGAGTGCACGTTTTATGTGGTTTATTGAGGAGCCATGAAATATTTTCACACACACACAGCATGTGGCAGCGAATTCATAAATCGCCCACAACACAAAGACAGAGGCAAATGTGTGTATGTATTTTCCAACAATACAAGCGTTTTTTTTTTGCTCCCCCCGAAATGCTTTTGGCATCTATTGTTATGTTTTAATTTGCTGTTTGTTTGCGAGTCTCGGGGACGGCGACTGCGAACCCGAATCCATTCGAGAACTACAATCAGGACATTGTCGCCCACGCTTTGGAAGTTCGCTCAAGCGCCTCGTCTACTTGGGGGCTATCTGTCGAAAATGTATCGTTAATCTTTAAGCGTGCACCTGCCTGGTGAGTGGAGTCGTGAGGGGGGAGCCACTTTTCGAAACGGTCCAATGTGAACGTACCCCAAATATTTGCTTTGCGGCTGCCAGGCGCTTGTGCAACATGCATGCATTTCCCTGTGTTTTGTTTGCGCAAACACAAGGAATCTATCGGACAAGCTGTCGTGGCGGCTGCAAAGGATTCGAGACTGGCGGATGGTGCGGCCTGGCCTTCAAAAGCTTTTTACCAAATCTAGCATAAACGCAGCTCGAGTATTAAAGATGAAACCGCAATGCAAATACTTTGGGGACACATTTCCTCTGCCCGGGCCTGGGCCTGCGAAATGCGAAGACACACACAGGCAGATGGTAAACTATGTGAAATGGGGGCAAGGAAAAGTCAAATATTCAAAGCATTTCCTTGAGATCTGCATAAATATTAGCTTAGGTGCGAAATTAGATCTATTAAATAGCTGGGCTGTCTAGGGTTAGACGAGTCGACTCCAGATCAACATGTGACTGATTTTGGATTGAAATGTAGCGGTGTGTGGGAGTGGGTTCTCAATAGATTAATAGATATTTAGCCAACAGATATTTGCCACTTTTTCACATTAGTAACCAACAACTTTGCCCAAGAGTACTCATTTAGTCAGTAAAATAAGCTGAAGCTTAAACCATTTGAGAATTTTAAGCGCAAATTGCCAAAAAGTGAATTAAATGTCGCCTGAGAAATGTGTTAATATGCTGTCATAAAATAGAAAATAAGAATTAAGAATATGAGTATCTAATGGTGTCAAGCATTACAAATGTATCTAATTAACATAAGTTCAACATAAGCTCACAATATTTACACATGCACAGAAGTACATAACAACCTTAACAAATAGTGAACTAACCCCATTGTAGTACATAGCTTTGCAACCACCTGGCCCGCCCAAGCTCTTGTGGTAGTGGTGCATTAGTTACCCATGCTAAAACCCATTAAACGTGCCTAAAACCCGTATCTCACCTGTGATAAACCAGTATTTTCCATTGTCATTCTGTGGTGTCGGTCAACGTCAAGCTAATTGAGTCGAAAAACTGCTCTACAAAGAACAAAACAAAAAACCCACCCCATTAATTCACAGGCTCGCAGCTGGCAGCTGGCGCTTCCGGTGACAGCAACGGCGATGCCATGGAAACCTCGTCGTCGTCAGAGCTGGAGTTCAGGTGCAGCACAGCGGCCACGGCGGGTCAGTCGCAGTACAGTGTCGAAGCGGATGAGTTCAAGCTTGTTTTTCTAAACTCGGACTCGTCATCGTCGTGCAAAGAGGAGGAGGAGGAGGAAGAGGACGACGGAGACGGCAATGATACGGATACCGCGTCCAGTTCCTCCTGCACATCCACGCACCAGTGCCACAGCATTGTGAGCAATGTGGAGGACTGCGATTGGGATTACTTTGAACCGTCGATGATTGCTGCAACGACAACAACAACCACAACCATGATTGCCTACGCCAGCTCAATAACGCCCACAACGCCTACGCCGCCGCCAAGGCTGCGGCGCAAATCCAGCGACAGCGATTCTCCCCTGCTGCAGCGTCGCCAGCAGCTGCGCAGCTATTGCTCAAAGATACGTGAGAGCGACACCGGCACCGACGAAGAACTGCACATGCAGGCCGAGAGCAGCTCCCAGACCAGCTCGGATCAGAACCAGACGCCGCCGACGCCCACGCTGCCACTTAGCATGAAGGCGCGCATCAAGACGCGCTTCCTCAAGAGCCATCACCACTACCAGCACCATCATCATAGCCACACGCCCAGCAGATGCGGTTGCAGTGGGGCAACAACCCCACAGCAGCCCCAATATGTGCCGATACCCGTGCCGGTGCCCATACCCGTGCCCCTGGCCGCCTACCACAACTGGCAGCTGGAGCATACGGGCGCGCCGCTGCTCGAGCAGGACGAGCACCTGGCTGCCTCGCTGCAGCAGCTATGGCAGGCCGCGGCGGCAGCCTCGTCGACACCAAACTCGCCGCAGCAACAGCAGCAGCAACAACAACAGGCAGCAGCTGCAGCTGCCGCCGCCGCGGCCATGGTTGCTTATTCGCAGCAATTCGCCGCGGCCAGCAACATGTTTGATGCAACACCGCCGGCAACAACCAAAAGCTATCAGCAATTGCCAACAACAACAAGTCAACTGGGCGGCGGTTTCAAGTCCTCGGCGCCGGAGCTGAGCGCCTCGCTGGGCTCGCTGATGACGCAGTCGCTGTGCTCCACTGCGTCCACGTCTTCATCAACAACGTCCGGCTATGGCACAGCAGGTCGCAGCCTGGAAACATTAGCCGGCTGTCTGTGTCTGGCACAGCAACAACAACAACAACAACAACAAAAACAAAAACAGCAACAACAGCATCAGCAGAAACAACAACAACAACTGGCCAGCCAAATGGCTTTCAAGCCAGCTCCAACAAGTTTAGGTTTAGTATTGCCGCGGACGCCGTCGGGTGAGCAACAACAAACGCGTCGTTCGCTCTGTGTCGATGCCGATGCCATTGACGTTGACGTTGACGCTGACGTCGCCAGAACGCCCACAACAACAGTGAGATTGTGTAATGCGAATGATAAAAGCAGCAGCGACTGCGACTGCGACTGCGACGCCAGCAACAGTGTTAAATATAGAGCACATGTTGATGTTGCCGCTGTGCCTGATAAAAGCGAGGCGATGCCAGCAGCAACATTGACAGCCAAGCTGCCAAATAAATGCCAAAATCTAAGCGAAACTGTGCAAAACACAAGACCAACAGCAGCAGCAGCAGCAGCGGGCACAGAAACGCAAACGCAAACACAAACAGAAAAGACAGAAACTGAAAGACAAACCTACCTGGCGAGTAACAAGCACGACGACGACAAAGACGAAGCAGCGGAGGCAGCAGACGAAACAAATATACATAAAAATCAAGTACCAGCAACAGCAGCAACAACAACTACAACTGGAGCCACATTGAGTGCGGCTACTCCTGCGGTAATAACTCGTTTCAGCGGCGGCGGCCAAGTTGCAGTCGAAAATGTTGAGATTGTTGCCGCCGTTGCGCCTAGAGAGCAACAACTGCAGCAGCAGCCACAACTAGAGCCGCAGCTAGCGAGGAATTTGTCCTCCCATCGGTTTATAAATAAAAAGCCCACAAATATGTCCGAGAGCGAGCCAAGTGAGGCGGCGGCGTTCGGCCATTTGCGCAGCGAAAGCTACGCCGCCAACAGCAGCAACAGCAACTGCAGCAGCAACAGCCGCAGCAGCAGCAGCGGCAGCAACAGCGAAGCTGAAGATGAGCGCAGCCCACGCAAATTGGTGGAGCGCAGCTACGATGTTGCCTTGGCCATGCAGGCGGAGATGGAGGAGCCACCAGCGCCACAGAGGCCAGCAGTGCCCGTGCAAATGGTGCACCACAGCACAACCGACGGCAGCAGCAGCAGTGATTCCAGCAGCAACAGCAGCTCCAGCTCCGAGTCTTGCGACTCGGATGACACTGGCACCGTCGCAGATCGGCGACCCAAGCGCAAACGTTTCAACAAGGTGTTTGTGGTTAATCGACAGGTGGGCCAGGCGGCGCGTGCCAGACGCAGCTCATCCACCGAGGGTGATTCATTGTCCTCCTCGGATGCAAATCTCGAAGATTCATCAGATAACGATACGGATACCGAGCGCACCGACTGCGGCATTGTGCTAAACTATGTAAAGGCATTGGCTGAGGAGGAGAAGGAGGAGCAGAAGGCAGAGGAACAACAACCAATTGCAGCGGCACGTGATGCCAGCGACGAAGATGAAGAAGATGATGATGAAAGTGAACGCCGCGTTGCCAACTCAAGCGATGAGCTTGCCAACTGCATTGTGGTTGTGGGCGGCTGCACCGACGACGACGCCAATGCCGGCGGCGTTGTGCTGCATGGCATGCGCGCTCTGCCAGACGTCGAAGAGGAGGAGCAGGAGGAGCAGGAGCAGTCAGAGGAGCAATCAGAGCACAGCATTGAGCAGCCGCTGCCATTCGAATTAAGCTCCGTCCTGGCTGCCTGCGATGAGCTGCATAGCATTTCTAACGATGTGAATCGCCTACTGGCGCTGCACAAGCAAAACTCCCAGCTGGAGCTCAAATTGCAGCGACTGCGTCGCGGCGTGGCCGAAATCAATGAGGATCATCTGCTGCTGCCCAGCACTGCTGCGGCTGCCGCCCACATGGAGCAGCAGAAGCCAAGCGAATGCTGCCAGCAAATGCCTAAAGCAGGGTGTGCACCCAATGCACACCAGGCGGAGAACATAGAGGAGGCGGTGGCCCAAACAGTGGCAACCCTCGTGCCGGCCAGTTGCCATTTCCAGAAAGGCGTAAATGTTAATTCTAATGATGAAAGCGAAGCAACGAAACAAAACGAACCAAGCGACGCCGAGGGTAAACATGTAAACGAAGAGGAACTGGCAAAGGCAGAGAAAACAGAGGCAGCGACTCTTGGGTTTTCATGCCAGCAGCGGCAGCGGCAGCAGGTAAAGGCAAACAGCGATAATAAACTAGCAGCCAGGCAAACAACAACAACAACAACAACAGTGACGACCATCGCAGAGCGAACAGCTGTGCAAACGCAGGCAATGGCAGAGGGGGACGCTGCGGGCGGCGGTATACGCAGCGAAGCATGCAAAATAAACGACGATTTGTTCGACTCGTCGAACTCTCACTCTCTCGCCATAACGAGTAAAGCACCTGAACCACAACAACAACAACAGCAAGAAGAACAGCAGGTAGCTGGGAGAGCGACAGCTGCTGAGCATAAAGAGAGTGCGCTACCTGTTGCTCATAAAGCCGATTGCGCAGCCGATGTGAAGTCGCAGTCGGCATTGGAAACGGCGGCGGCAGCGGAGTCAGTCGAAAATGAAATGTTAAACGTTGCGGTTGAAGAGCCAAACGCGCGCCTAACGTTGTATACTAACAACAACAACAACAGAAACAGCAACAACATTAATAATAATAATAGCAGTAGTAATAATAACAGCAACAACAACAACACTGGCCATAATGACGGCGATTTCGCAGCACAAAAGACAAAAGGCAGCAGCAACAATGCTGTCGTTGTTGTTGGCCAACATAGCAGCAGCAACAGCAACTGTGACGTAGTGAATGTGAATGTGAATGTGAATGTGAATGAAGCATCGTCGCGTGTGTTTGAAAGTTGTGAAAACGAATACGACAAAATATTTGGCAGTCATCAAGAACTGCAAATCAACGAACCAGCAGCAGCAACAGAGGCAACAACAACAACAGCAACAGCAACAACAACGACAACAACAGTCGCTGCAGCCAAGAATTCACTTTCAGCCAAATATCGCAGTTTAGTGATGATTACAAAAGACAATGAAAGTGCAACAACAACAGCAGCAGCAACAACGACGAATAACGACAACGATTATGAAATGGCAGCGATTGGCAACAGCAACAACAACAACTTTGGCCAGAACTTTGGCAATGAGTCAGCCGATACGCTGCGCGCCTTAAAAAACGACAACAACGATTTGAGAGCGGAGCACGGCGTCGAGCTGTTGCCAGTGACGCCAACTCCAAGTGAACGGGAATTGTCGCGTGACTCCTACAGCGTGGACTCGCTAAATGAGCCGAACGTGCGGCCCAAGCTCAGCCTGGACGATGGCCTGGCCGATGATGATTCCTGGGTGGAGGAGCTGAGTCAGCGCGGCGATGGCGACGAGGAGGAGGATGAGAATTTAAGCAATGCAACAACAACACCGACGGCCACCGATTCGGAGGATGCAGAGGGTGATGGTGAGCTGGGCGGACGCATCATGTACATGGATCGGGAGGAGGAGCTGCGTGGCTATAATCGATCGGCCATTGACTTTACTCTGCACACCATTGTCGAGGAGAGCTGTGAGGAGAGCGAGGTGGCCTCCATGCGTGCCGACAACGAACTGGAGCACGAGGAGGAAGAGGATATGGCGGAACGCCGGCGCATGCGCACGCTGCAGCATCATCATAGACTCAGCGCCTCCGAGTTGGAGAAGTACTTCTTCTTTGGTCTGGGCGATGGCAAAGTCATGAGCTCCATTGACACGCGCGGCGATGATACCGCCTCGGAGGTCAGTTCCGAGTGCTCGGAGAGTCTGGACTCATTGCCGCACGATGATCAGCTGCTGGATGGCGCTAACAGTGCCGCAGATTTGGCCTCATCGCGCCTGGAAAAGTATTTCCTCTCTGGCTTCATGGGCTTCAGCGGCGGCGAGAAGCAGGCGGAGAGCGACGAGAGCGGCGGCAGCGTTGGCAGCGACAGCGAGGGGCATCCCAGTCCTAGCCAGCGACGCAAGCGGCTGGTGCGCGCCCGAGGCACGCCGCGCAGTCACAACTCCTCGCTAGATAATCTGCTGCTACCCGAGGCGGATACAATGGACGCATCGACAACTGCAGCTGCAGTTGCAGCTGCAGCAGCAGCAGCAGCAGCAGCAGAGGACACATCAGAATCAGAGGCAGGCTGCGACGATACCGTCATACACATGGCCAACGCAGTAGATCGCGCCTCCGATGGCAGCTCCTCGGACACCATCAAGCGCAAGAAGCAGCTACGCAAGCGTCACGATTCGCTGGACGAGAAGAAGCTGCACGAGGCAGCAGATATGGGCACAAATGGATCGGGAGGAGGAGCCGACTCACATACGTCCACGCTGGGCACAGCTCAGGCCAAGAAGCAGCAGCATCACAGCCGCGACAGCGGCTTTGTGGGCAGCAACGATGATCTATTAAAGTCAAGCGAATGCGAGCCCTGCAAATCCCCCACGCCGGCACTGGGCCAGATCAGCGAGGATCGCGAGCCGCTGGCTGCAGCGGCTGCACTCAGCCTGCCCAAACTGGAGCTGCCTAGCACAAGCGCAAGCGCAGCTGCCACCAACAGCACGCGTCACATGACACTGCAGCCGCCGGCTGTGGCAGGCAACGTCACCACCAGTTCGAATCTGGTGCGCAAGGATAGCTTCAACAACTGGAGCTCCGACGAGGAGACCAATCTCATGATGAGCAAAATGCGTCAGTTCTTCAAGACGCTCATCGTGGCCACGGCCAATGCACAGCAGAGTCAGAGTCAGACCCAGACGCAGACGCAGACACAGAACCTGGCCCAGACGCAGAACCAGAGCGGTGGGAGCACGCCCAGCTCGGTGCGCCGGCTGGCCTGCAAGTCGGATAAGTCTCGACCCGCACAGTTGGCCTATTTTGAGAATGAGCTGACGCGGCTGATGAAGACCGTTCCGGGCATCAATGATGAGCAGGTGCGCGAGATTGTCGAGTATCTCAGCAGCGAAGACACCTGGTCGGATTCGTATGACTCCTCCGACTATACCAGCTCCGACTTGGAGGGCTCCGAACACAAGGGCCAGCTGAAGGCGCAAATCTCCGCCAGCTGCCAGCAGATAATCAATAAGTTCGAGGTGGATGTGGAGGGGGTGCGCGGCGATGGAGGTTTGCTGGACGAGACGCATGCGCTCAATGGCGACACGGCGTTTGTCTACCAGAAGCTGGTGGCTTCCTTCAGCAAGGTGGCTGCGGGAGATACCAGCGAGGCAGCAGCAGCAGCAGCACAGCCGAAGCCAGTCGAGGCGGATGAGGATCACCTGTCCACGGGCAGCACGGAGCAGCGCTCGCCGCAGCTGTTTGTCAAGGTCATGCAGCACATAGGCACCCGCCTGGTGGCGCTGATGCACGAGGTGAGCAGCGGCAATGAGACGCCCACGTCCACCCGACACAGTCGGCGTGCGCAGGCCAAGATCTCAGCCACCACGACAGAGGATGAGGAGGATGAGGTGGAGCAGCAGCTGCAGCTGAAGGCGCTGCCGCTAAAGCAGCTCAAGTTGCGCAGCCGCTCCCATGATCTGCTGCTGGATGGCGGCGCCAACTCTGGGCAACACACACAGCTCCATGGCCAGACACCTGGCCATGCGGCGGCTCATCAGCAGTCAGCGCCGGCGGGCGTTGGGGCCGGCGACAATGCCGGCGAGGAGTGCGGCGTGGCCAGCGATTACGAGCGCTTCTCGTGGCGCGGCAGTTTTGAGTCGGCATTACTGGCTAATGGCGACTCCAGAACGAGGCTCAGCCAGCTGAGCCAGCTAGACAGGGACAACTCGTCGTCTGCGTCCGCTTTGGCTGTAGCAAAGCGCAGATCTGCAGGCGACCTGCTGTTCAGCCAGCACCAGCAGAGCCTCAGTCGCGAGCAGCTGGATCGCGTGCGCTCCTGCGGCAGCATTGGCGGCGGCGATGCCCATCATCATCAGCTGGAGGCATCGCCCGCCAAGCCCTGGCTCTCATCGGCCAGCTCTTGCGCCGATTCCGCCAAGGATGTGCGCCGCTCCAGTGTGCCTGATGCCATCTACGAAACGGACTCCAGCGACGAAGGCCAATCGGCCCAGTTCAGCTCGAATCGCTCCACCTTGCCGCGCAGCCTGACTGGCAGCGTGCCGGTGGCCAGCACCAATTCGCTGCCACGCCTACCCACCAGCGCTGTGGCTTCAGTGGGCGCCGCCTTCACCAGCACGCCCATCACCAAGTCGCAGAACGCGCTCAACTATACGCCCTCCTCAACGGGCAGCGCCAAGAGCGCACGCTATCGCTCGCCAGGCTTGGCGGCACGTGCAGCTGCCGCCAACAGCAGCGGCTGCGCTGGCGTTGGCTCTGCCAGCTCCACCAGCAGCGGCGGCAAAAAGCTTGGCGGTGGTCTCCAACAGTTCCTCTACTCGAAACGGGATGCACGCAAACGCCTGAACATGTCAGCGGGTGAGTTTACCAAGGCCTCCGTTTAACTATCTTGCAGATACATTATCCACGCACACACACACACACACACACACACACAGTTACATGATTCACATACAGAGTTCACATTCTGCAAATGCTCAGCATTTTTGAGATGTTTACCTTTTTACATGGCGATTAGCTTCGAAGTGCTTCCATGCCAGAAATGCCAGCCAGGCGTCAAAATGGCATGCGGCACATTTGGACACGTTTAGCAGAAAACTTTTCTAACCGCAAGCGCGAGAAGGTTTTTCAATAATAAATTGAGTTATTTGTTCAGAGTCCAGCAAGTCCTTAAATTCAAGGCACATTTTTATGTAAAAACTTTTATTTGGCAATTGTTGACGATTTTTTACATTTTATTTATTTTCTTCAATTTACTGAAAATCTATTGACTGTGGCTTCTTTTTTTACAATTCATCTCATTTACTTCTTGATAAAAGTCAAACAGTTAAAGTTCTTCATATATAATTTGAGCGAAAAGAAAAGAATTGTATATGCTTCTATTTTCCTTAATTTTTCTCGGAAAATGAGTGATTTGAGGCCCAAAGTAATCATGATATTTGACTTTACCATGCTACTCTAATATCAGAAGTGCACATAAAAAAATAAAATAAAAAAACTATGCAGAAATGCGATTTTGTACAGAGAAAAAAAAAGAGGGAAGAAAAACAAAAGACTAAACTCAATTTTGCTGCCTTGAATTTGATGTGTAAAATAGCTCACCGTTGCTGAGAGTTTTATAATTTGGACACGAAGAAACTAAACTCAGTTTTCAAGCTATATTGATAAAGTTTTGAACAGATTAGTATTTTAATCAAAGTGGACAGTAACGAAAGACTTTATCATGCATCTTTCATAGCAACTAATTGTATTGAATTCAGCTTTTTTATGAAATACTTGCTTTTTAATCAACTATTGCATTTGCATTTTGGCTAATAAATTTTTTATAGTTTTATAGTACACTTTATCATTAAGCTCCAGTAAGAGCTAGGTGAATTATGCTAAAAATGCATCGCAACTTTTCTACTTGTTTTGGTACTTTAACACATCAAGAAACCTGTTTTTTACTTTACCTATTTAACAGAAACGTTATGTAAACATTCTGCTAATTAACATAGAATTTCTATGCTGAATCCATTTGTTTGTCTGGCAACGCTGATCATCATTTTACAACTTTTTCTGCTCTAGGGCTCTATTAGTAACTCGCAGTATTCCCCCTCTCTGCACGCCTGACCAATTCGCTCCAGACCAGAATTCTATGTGCTTTGGCCATCTATAGATAGGCCCGTGGCTTGTATTTTTTTGTCCAAAATCAACCCAATCAAGGTCAATTAACTGTATCCATATTAAGCGCTACGCTCGTTGCCAGCTTCTCAGTTAAAGTTAAAGCGATTTTCGCACTGCGCCAACTGTTGCTGCCGCCAGTTCCGCTTGATGGGGGCGTATGTTGCTGCTGTTGTTGCCTATTTATTAGTTGGCCAAAAAAAAGCTGTTTTGCGGCTTGGTCAATGAAACTCGAACTTGTGCTCAAGCCCGAACCTTGTGGCAGGCGCGCAGGCGGGGCTTTGAACTTTGCTTCAATTGTTTCAGCACTAGGGATGGGCGCGTGAGTGCCTCGCCACGCACACAATACAACTTTTGAATAATTATGTAAGCTGTTGGGCATGAAAATGAATTTTAAATTCCGCCCAACAATTACGCAACCAAACAAATTCTGCAGAATTTATAGAGCCCATGAAAAGCCATTGAATTGTTTTTGAATTTGCGACAAAGTTAATTTATTTAGTGTTTAATTCTGTGGAAATATTTTAATTGCAACCGTTGGGCTAACATTATGATGACTGTGAAATACCCTTTAATTATTTGTAATATTTATCATTATAAAATGAGAGAATATTTTGAATTATGTATTCGTTGTTTCAACGAGCTGATATACTATGAAATACTCTATATGAACTATAAAATACTTTTTTTGGGATGTTTAATGAGACTTTGTGCTTACAAGTTTATATGCATATAAAAAACTTTGAAAGATATACTTAATTGCCAGTTAATTCTTTCAACTAAAAACATAATTAATTAATCGCATATAACTTTGTTGCCATCTTGTTGAACTTTAAAGTAGGCTGTAATTAAAAGCTCATGCTAATTGTTTAGACAAGACTTCCACATTTCTTTAAACTTTTAATCGCATAAATGGCCATCGCGTGCCTTGTCACGCGCCCATCTCTAATGCAAATAACCTATCCCACTGCCACTTCGTCTGTTTTGTTGTGCTGTTTAAACAGCTTTGTGTAACCAAATCAGTTTGGTTTATTTTCTTGTATATCTGGCAGCAATGTTAGCAGAAAATAAATACAATTATACGCCTGGCCACCGGTTCAATGGATCTGCAGTTGAGCCTGAAGTCGAAGCCGAATCCGAAACCGAAGTACACTCAATGTCTGCGCACAATATCATTTAAGCTCTTGACGTTGATGAAGTACTTTGCTTGTTTATTTCCTGTTCGCTATGCGATTATTTGCTTTTTGCATACAATAATTAATGTTTATGAACTCGCGTTGACACCAGCCAACAGAATTTTGGAATGGGTTTCGTGCTTGGCTGCATCACAGTGCAGCACGGAAGTGGCCGGCCATCCGGCAAGTTAAATGCTGCGCTTAACACTATTTGCATGTATTATTGGAATGTCAAGAGTGAGGCATGCCACAAACAATTTGGCATTAAGAGATTATTGTGGCAGGAAATGTGCAGGCACCCTGTCTGCGGGCACCTTGTGTGCCGCCGCGACACACCCGTTATTTGTGGCGCTTGTAATCAAATTAACCTTACGTACAGATCAAATATGACTATCTCTGTTGCACTTGCCACATGCCACCAGCTAGAATCATTTCGTTAATTGCACTTCCATTGGCGCTACGACCGACGACGACCTCCCCCGGACAAGAGTTCAATATTTCAATAATTGAATATAACTTAGATTTGCGGGCGAATTTCCAACTTGTGGCTCAGTTCTTCTGCCTTCTGGGGCTCAGTTATAACGCCACGCTTAACGGAACTTGATCGCGACGCGCTCTATAAATCGGATCCGAAATCGGAATCGAAATCGCAATTTTAAAACCTAGGCACGGGCTCTATTCGTCGCAGCCAGTGAAAGTGTTTAGGTTTTTGTTTATTTTCTCATTTTCGTTTTCATTTTTTTTTGTTCAACTTGAATTGGGCGCTTTTGGCGCTGGCCACGCTGAAGTATGCCCCAAGTAGCGGAAATTATGAAAAGGGCCATAAACTACAAATATTTTTAAAATGAAAACATTGTCAACAAATCGTGACCGCATTGAGGAAAATTTGTACAGCAACAAAAATGAATAATTCACGAAGAAACATTTACTTTATTTTTTGTATTTTGGGGCGTTATGTGACCCAGTTTTTTGACGTTTTCGTTAGGTGTTTGCTTTGCCAAGCCTTCAATTCCATTTCACAAACTAATTATGGCCATTACCCAACTGTGGACGGGTATCTAATTGCGGACACGAATCAAGGCTGCGACAAGTTCAAGTGCGATTTGGCATATTTTTCAATTGAATTAAAGAGAACACCTTGAATTCAGCTCCCCTGCCATTGTTGTTGTTGTTGTTTTTGTTGTTGGCCAGACAGAGCATATTCGTGGCTTAGATAACACATTTGGAAATTCTAAACCCAATTACGTGTCAAAATGTCCACAGCTCTCTTTACTTTTTGGATTTTATGTACATGTAGATTGCTTATCGCGCCGCGCAGTTTCTTATCAAAACTCACCGTGAGTCTATAAAAGCCACACTGCGAACAGCTGGAAACTGTTGCTGTTGGTATGATTGTTGTTGTTGTCGTTGCCAAATGCAATTAAGTTTTTCAGAGCAGCAGAAACTAGAAAACAAGCTGAAATGTGCTAAAAGCATGCCCGACTAGCACATACCCTGCAATTTTATTTATTACTTATCCATTACATGATCGTGAGCAGAGTTATCTAAAATTTGCAAATAATTTTCACCTGGGCAAACTATTAGGAAAGATACATACCAACTTTGCTAGGCCCAGAGCTTATAATGCCAGATATAGCTGTTGTATAGCTGGATCGATTTTCAGTTTATTCACGGAGGTCTACTATTAATGTGGACTGATTTCGTAGACGCCTTTTCCCTGCCTATTATCTGAAACGGTCCGTCGATATACCCCATTGCAAGAAATTGATGGAAAGCATTTCTCAGTCCCAAAAGCGTCATCAATTAATGGCAGATCTGTTCAGTTATAAAACTCGCTGCAACGATAATGAGAAAAGTGACGCGTTTAATTGGCAAGCGGGGCCCAAGTAAAACTCCCAAAGATGCCACCGGCTACAATGCATTCGTGCGTCCATCCAGATCAAAGCCACCAACAGATGCGCCAACTGCCATCGCGGGCGTGCACAAAGTCAGAAACTCAGCGCCAACGGGTGTGGGTTTGTCTGTGGAGACCCATCCTGCAGCCGGCAAGATACAATATGCTGCATTCAATCGCTTGCGCAACAGCCGCCAAGCCCAATCGCTAGCCACGCCCACTGGCCAGACAAAACGGCGTCGTTGGCGGCTCTGCTGGTGCTGGCGACGGCGCCGGCGACGCCAACGCGGCTACAAGAACTATTGGCGCAGCAGAGCTTCGACAAAGTCGAAATGGACTTCGTGGCTGCATTGGGGCAAATGCTGCGGTCGGCGTGGGGTGGGTTTCAGCAGCAGCAGCAGCCGTTACCACTATGACTCCGAGGAGGAGGACGACGACATTGATGCCAAGGTCGCGTCCTACATACTGGAGATGAAGCAGCGCGAGGCGGCAAACAGCAGGCAAAGTGAGCACACGGATGAAACGGACTTTGGGTCCAGAGAGGAGGCAGCAGAGGCTGGCCTTCGGCGCAGCAGCAGTGCCCCGCCCCGGCAGCAGCAGCAGCAGCAGCAGCAGCTGCAAGTGTTGCAGCCGTCCAGCTGCCAGGCGCAGATCAAGCGTCGCGCCTGGACCTGGGATGACAGCTTGCGCTCCAACTCGGATCGCTTTCTCGAAACGCTCGAGGAGGATTTGTCAGGTGCTGCTGCAGCTGCTGCTGTTGATGGGCGGCTGCGGCTGTCGCTGAACTTGCAACGTCGCACGCCGCTGCATGTGACCTTTCAGGAGGTGCAAGGTAGGCGGCACAGCTACAGCTTCATCTGCCTGCCACGCCTGCCTGCCTGCCTGCCACACCTGCCTGCCTGTTGCATGCAACCAACTGCCGCCACGCTTTCCATTGAATCATTATATTGTTTCGCTTTTTCTCCATCATATCGAATGTGTGTGTCCGAGAGTGTGTGTGTGTGTCTAATGGGTGCTCATTAGCCATAATTAAGGAAATGTCTTAAACTAAATTCATATTTCTTTGCGCACAGAGGAAGCCAAGGCCGCTGCCGAGGAGCTCAGCCGTTCGCCGGTGATTGGACAGCGTAATGCGGATGCCGCCGCCTCCAGCCCCGTACAGTCGCGCGCCTCCAGCGAGGCGTGGCCGGCACAGTCGGATGAGGACATCGATCGCCTGGTGGCCATGCATCAGAACCGAAGCAGTCTCAGCTCCCTAGGCGTAAGTACAACCAGCAGCCGAGCAACAGAGAGTTCCCCGCCAGCTCTAACTTTCGATTGCATTGACAGGTTCGCTCGGAGTCCATGGCCAGCGTCTATTCGGGCGCCGGTGAAGGTCGCTATGGCACCGTTGTGGTCAAGGGTCAGGTAGAGTTTGGCATGCAGTACAACTACAAACTGGGCGCCTTGGAGATACACGTGGTGCGCTGCAAGGATCTGGCCGCTGTTGATGCCAAGCGCAATCGCAGCGATCCCTATGTGAAGGTAACTACTTGGAGCTTGAGCCCGAAAGGAGCAACTACTTCATATGTGGCATGTTTCTTGCTATTCGGCAGGTTTATTTGCTGCCCGACAAGTCGAAGGCCGGCAAGCGCAAGACCAAAGTCAAGAAGCACACTCTGAATCCCATCTTTGATGAGACGCTGCGCTTCCACACGTCCATTTCCAGCTTGGAGTCACGCACTTTATGGTTGACCGTCTGGCATTCGGACATGTTTGGACGCAACGATTTTCTCGGCGAGGTCAGCGTCAATTTGCAGGGTCGTCTCTTTGACAATCCACAGTCGCAGTGGTATCTGCTGCAGGAGCGCGTAAGTGGGCATGGCAAGCCTGACAAAAAGCCTTAACTAAAATCAATTCCATTTGACAATCACAGAGCGAACCCTTTGATGATGTGGCCACCTATCGTGGCGATATTGTGGTGGGCCTGAAATACATTCCGCCAGAGAATCTGAAATCCTCGATATTCTCGCGCGGCTCCAGCCTCACAGGCAGCTCATCGAATCTGCGCAAATTTGGAGGCAGCATCAAATCGGTAGCTTCTAAGTCCGATCGCAGCGCCAAGGGCGGCCAACTGCATGTGCTGGTGAAGGAGGCCAAGCACTTGAGTCCTATCAAGGCCAATGGCAGCTGTGATGCCTTCTGCAAGAGGTGAGCGGGCGACAGTGAAGATGTGTCGCAGCACCAACTAATCATTGCCCCTTCTTTAGCTACTTGTTGCCGGATCGCACGCGCAGCTCCAAGCAGAAGACTCCGGTGGTGAAGCGCACCTTGCATCCCAGCTGGAATTATACGTTCGTCTACGAAGATGTCTCGCTGGAGGATTTGTCGGAGCGCGCACTGGAGCTGACCGTCTGGGATCACGATCGCTTGGCCAGCAATGAGTTTGTGGGCGGCATACGCTTCTCCCTGGGCACAGGTAGGTGTATCCAAAATTGGTTGCCAAAAACGATAACCAGCTAACACTTTTCATTCATCTAAATCAAAACAGGTCGCAGCTATGGACGGCAGGTGGATTTTATGGATGCCACTGGCAAGGAGCTATCGCTCTGGCAGAATATGCTAGATCGTCCCAACTTTTGGGTGGAGGGCAGCCTCGTGCTGCGCTCCAGCCTGGATGGCATACGTGCCACATTGCCATAGGCAGAGTACTCGTCACAATTTGCACTGTAGTAATTTATTGCCTAGCCACAAGCACACACAGGCACGCACACAGCAGACAAACGCATGCATACCCATACCTACATATAATGTTGCAGTTGGAGTTTTGCCACAGGGCATACGAATGCCCAAATTGTACTTGTATTTGTATTTGTATTCGTAACTGAATTTGAATTTGTATTTGTATTTGTATTTGAATCGTATTGAGTTGTATTAATGAGGAAATGTGTAGTAATTACATAATAGGGTACGATGACAAGCATTACTAGGAACATAGGCATGAATGAAATTCAAGATTCGATTCGATTGATTGATCGATTGATTGTTGGCGCACTCAAGTTCGATTCGTAAGTTAAGCACGCGATTTAGAACGATTTAGAAAGATTTTGAATACTCGAATATATGGCAATCAGACATATGTATACTTATATTTATATGTATATATAGAGTATGTCTGGCCAGGCATCAGCATTAGCATTGGCATTGGCGATGATACTGCAAATTATCTATATTGTTTATGTAGTTTAAGCAGCACAATGTTCAAATACGAAAAACCAACAAACAAACTAAATAAAAAAAGCGTTATCAAATTATTGCACTAATTATAAGCGGGTCATATCCCAGAAGATACTACAAATTGTAAACCAAACACGCGGATTGCTCAGTAAAACGACGACGACGACAAATTAGCCCCATATGCATATATGTACATCTATGTGTATGTAGGCTAACTTAGGATCATTTGTGTGTGTTTTTTTTTTTGTCCAAAAATAAATGGAATTCGCAATTTTGCATACTGTATGCATTAAACCTACGATAATAACTAAGCTCCGACATAAACTCTAAGCTATGTAATACATAATATGTACTAGTACCTATCCAATAATAATCGAGAAATACAAATAACAACGTTTTTGTAAATGCATCTTTTTCGTTTTGTTTTTTACCTATCGTTTTCCTTTTCCAACACTTATACGGTCTAGCTCTTAAGTAAACAGCATTCTAAACTTTACATACATATACATAAGCATATACATACATATATATCAATCCAGACTTCAAGCATATCGCAAGCACTGTACAACTAGATGACAAAACAGACTCAGCAAGGCTTCATATTCGCATATATACGGAGTAAATAAATACTCTACTACTTCATGACTAGATACCCACCAGAACTCAAGTAAATTGCAGCCAAACATAAAAGAAGATAAACAAAAGCATAAAAGATCTATATGTATGTCACACTCCCTCCAACCTCTTGTTGCTAAAAATCTGTTTGTTGTGTAACTTTTATATACACAAAATATATTATATACGATGAGGCAGCTCTTTAAGACGTTCGATAATACTTAAAATCTATTGAAAAAATATATATATAAAAAATCTAAAAGAGAAAAATTATATATTTAATATAGAAAACGATTCTTATGAATGCTTTTGGTGTAAGTTTACATTGAAAAAAACCTACGCGCATACAAATAAATAATGTTGAATGATACTTAAAAAAAAAAACAAAAACAAAAACAAAAAAAAAAGAAGATTTATAGAAAATGTTTTTTGATAAAAGAAAATTGCTGAATCACTCGTTGCCTAAATACCGCTTGTCTTTTATACTCAAAGTTTTCGAAACACACACACAGACACACTCACACACACGCGAAATTCGATGATGATGATGATGATGATGATGATGATGATATAAGAACCCACATGGATAAAAGGTTTGCTATATAATATTGGGATATGCATGAAAATGTGGGCGTTCGGATTTTCTCAACATCAGCATCACATGATATAAAGTCAAACAATAAGCAGCAAATATTGCAACCACAAAAAAATAAATGGTATTTAGTAGCATATTATAAAAAAAATATAATTTATAGCTGGTGGGCAATGCCAGCGGAAATACATACTGTATTTGAAAACAAAAAAGAAAATGAAAAAAAAACCCAATTACAAATATGTTGACAGCCTAATCATATGCATGTAGTAAATACTATATGTATACGCAAGTAGTTTATTTTCCATCTCCAATGTTTTTAAAATGTACTTACAGTGCATCTACATACATATATATTTTTTTACTTTAATCCTGGCTTCCAAGGCATGCCAGCAGATCAACCCCACCCCTAACTTTAACTCTAACCTAAATCTAACTAACTAGCTACACGAATTGTGAATTGTGTTTTAACAATTGATAGCTATGTACATTCGACTATTCGACTCGTATTCACACTCATTCACTCGCATGGTGCTAAAAAAAAAAACACTCCTCGTATTTACTCTGGAGACCCAGAAAATCATGAGAAATCTTTTTACCTTTTTACTGTTTACGCATTTTTTGGATTTAAACTGAACTATTGTGAACTAGCGTTTATTACATGGTATATTTATAATACAATCCTACAATATAGTATATACACATATTATGAGATTACATAGTCAGTTATATACACAGTTATACAATAAATAAGTAGCAAGAGTAAACGTAGCATTAAGTGAACGCAAACTGTTATATGGCGAGTCCAACAAATATATGGCATTAACTTATCGTTTAGAGAACTCCTTTCTATAGATCTGATGAGGTCAGATCCCCGCTTGTATGCCAACAGGAAACACATCATATAATTATGTATATCATGAAATATTTACGTACTTATTGTATTTGACAGCAATTGCAAAAAGTGCTCAAACGTAGCATTTAAGATGCAAGAAAAATGAAAAAAAAAACAAAAATAATTATTGAGAAAATCAATCAGATATAGCGTTATATATATATTATTCAATAAATGGCCATGCGCCCGAAATATGTTGCGTTAATATACAAAGAAGAAAAGTTTTCTGGAATACACCCGACACACGATAATCGTTGACAAGGTTGCCAGACCGTTAAATTAGAGTTCTGTTCTACCTATTATCATGCAGAATTGGGATATGGAAGAACACTTTTAATCCATACCTGAATCTGATGTGATGAAAACTACTTTAAGTGTAAGTAAATGTTGGTAAGGGTATTCAAGATAGGACAAGTATAAATATAAAACACATGCTTTACATTCTTTGATGCTTATAAAGTTAAATTATCCTTTCAAATGCATACAAAAAATAAATAAATAGTTGTAAAGTGTACACAGACAGCAAATTTTGAGCATACCACAAATTGCATATAAAGAACAAACGCAGCTTGGTTTGGTTTATTAATGGCTCGCAGCGTTAGTTTTTATCAACTAAATGAGATACCTATTATAATGGCAACCAATTATTCAAGATACACATACACAAATATACAAATATACAAATATATATATATTTTCCAAAATCTCTGCCCTGGATATTACACCTCTCTTAGGCTTAAGTTTAGACTCTGTCCTCTACTTTGCTATACAAGATTTTTCCATTGAGAGTTTCAAACAGGGCTAAGCGACCTCTATTTTGTACTTTATAAGACTTTCTCTAGTTCTTTAAAAAAAAATGCAAAAAAGAAAAACATAAGAAAATCCCAAAAAAAAAGAGTTTAAATTGAAGCCCTAACATTTATGGCATATATGAAGTTAATTATGCAAATGTTTACATACCCCTTTACGAGTACATGATCCATGTACACTTTAATTATACTTATGTAAGCAATTACTACAGGATTACAAAGTTTACACACACACACACACAGAAATATATATATATACATAAATATATATGTATAGAAAAACACCCTAATTAATATTATGTTGAATACTGTGACCCAAAATCAATCAAATAAAAGCAAATTTCGCATCTACTGACAACTTTCGGAACTAAATTGTGTGTTTGATCTAATCTAATACTCTAATAATTTTTGATCCAGGCGTGTTTACGCTTCCGCTTCCGCTGCAGTTTCCGCTTCCGTATCCGTATCCGCCTCTGCATTTCGCCGTACGCCATTGAGCGCATTTAGCTTTAGCTCCTCTGCAGGCTGCTTGAGCACATCATCGTCCCGTGCCCGCCAGCAATCGAAGGAGAGCATGGACTCCCCCTTGCCAAAGGTCTCGCCATCCTCCAGTGTGATGGGCAGTTGCCTAAAGGACACCAAATAGATAGCTTCAAGTGCTTGGCCATTTTCCGGCACCGCTCACCTGTTGTTCGTTTCCGGCAGGAGCAGCGCGCACGTCGCCGCCGTCAGCAGCAGCGCGGTCAAAATGAGCGATGGGCCGGCGGCAAATTTGGTGCCCAAATGTATTAGATAGGGTGAGGTAACCGAGGCCGCTGCAGCGGCCAAGTGCGCCGTTGCTATGCCCCGGGAGCGCACACAAGTAGGCAACAGCTCGGACGAGTACTGCGAGAAGGTTGTGTAGCACATGGATATGCCCAGACGGGTGGGCAGCGCAAAGGCCAGCAGCAGGGTGGCATTCAGCTGTGCGCCCTCAAAGGATAGGCACACGCCCAAGGCACAGGACAACAGGCTGGTGCAGAGCAGGGCCAGAAGGCAGGTGGCCTTGCGACCGAGACGACTCTGCAGCAGACCCTGCAGCAAGCCCGAGGGCGGCACCACCACGGCAAACAGCGAGAAGACCACAAATGGCGACAGACCCAGTCCCTCCACGTTCCGTGAGATGGTATTGAAGCTCAGGGATACCAGCATGCTGCGGTTACATGTAAGAGTGTTTCAATAAGGATGTTAGCCCAGCGAAGACAACCACTCACAAGGTGCAGATCACAACGAGGGCTGTTCTGCGCAGCCGCGGAGTGCGCAGCAGATCAAAGAGCCTGGCCTTCTGCTGCTGATTATCCTGCTTGCGCTTGGCGGCGCAATGCTGCCGGAACGCCTCAAAGTCGGCGGCGGGCACCTGGCGGCCATTGAAGTGCGCAATGTGCTTCAGTCTGGCAATGGCGCCCTCAACATTGTTGCGCGTGATCAGCCACTGGGCGCTCTCCTGCACCACAAAATAGAAGAGCGCCACGACGAGCTGCAGCATTGCGGAGAATGTCAAATAGATGCGCCAATTGCCGGCTAAGACGGACAGCCAGGGCGCCACCAGAGCGCCCAGGCAGCAGCACAATCCCAGCATGACGCTGATGGCCAAGTTTCTCAGCTTTGGCGCCAGATGCTCCAGCACTGGAGTGGATGAGCGGAGCAGAGCAGAGCAGAGAGGTGAGCAGAGCTGATAAAAAAGGTGAGCAGATACGCAATGCTTACCCAGAATAAACATCAGATAATAGTTGGCGGTTGCAGCCAGGCCGGAGATGCAGCGGAAGGCGCTGAACTGCGTCAGATTCGAGGCATACGTGGTAAGAAAGTCGCCCACAAAGCCGCATTGATTGGCCAATATAACGGCGCGCACGCGTCCAATCCGATCACCCAGCATGCCAAAGGCAAAGGTGCCCAGGAGCGACCCCAAAAAGAACAGGGACTGGCCAATGCGCGCCTTATACGCATTCTCGCAGACCCAGTTCAGCTGCAAGGGATCCATATAAATGCGATTCTGTACTTTAGACACAAAACTCACCTCGACATTCATGCTGCGAAATCCGAAATCATATTTGTATATCCAGCGCTCGCAGCTTTTGCTGCTCACGGTCAGATTGTAGACGCCCTCATGGACCTCGATCTGCTCCAGGCGCGTGCAGGCCGCGTCCTTGCCAAAGGGCGCATAAATGGCGGCAATCTGGTCGTGACTGCGATTCACCAGCTGCTCGTGATAGCACCAATGCGGCGGCACAAACCCGATTATGTTCTGGGAATAGTAGTGTACTGTGCTGGTAAAGGCTACATAGCCCAGCAGCAACAGCATCAGATACTGATACCGACCGGCATCGCCGCACTTTGCCAGAATTCCATCAAATTCCATTGCGGTACGCGCTGTCACCGTGCTCGGCCAGAGATTCGTTTAAGACTGAAGACCGACTGACCGACCCGAGCGTCTGTCCCAGCCATCAGATTCGCACGGAGTGTATGCCGCCGCAGTTTCTGTTTCGTTCCGATTCCGATAAGATTGTTGCGGCCGCTTATCGCATTTGCGTGTAATCTGAAGCGTTCTATCCATTACGAAATAAATGTTTTATTATTTAAGTGAGTTCGCTTATTCGTCTTAATCTAGACAGAGACCGGCAACTGTCTGAAGCGCCGCGCTCACTAGCATGCCGAAAACAAATTTTAAATATACATAGTATATACATTTTATAAGATATACGTATGCATAATTATTTAAAATCCGACTGAGTGTATTTTCTTCGCGTCAGACCCAATATTCGATATGCTTCCTCTAGATACAATTATATATATAGTTTTCAAACGATCACCCATTGATTACATTAAGATTTAAAATTCTAACTGCTTCCGTATCAAGATTGTGTCCGACTTCTTATCAAGAGAACTCGCCAAAAAGTTGTATATAGTATGTATGGACATATATATAAACTTTATTATTAGACGACGGATTTATGGTTGTGTTTGTTTTATTTTTTAAGAGCGCGTGAATGATATGCATTTCTGTGTGTGGCAAATATTTGAAATTAATAATTACCTTAATATTCCGTAGCACACTTTTATAGCTGTCTATTATTCCAGCTCAACTATAACACTTGCAGGGTTTTGACAGTCGCTTATACGCCCCACAAGAAACATCCGAGCACTCACTCTTATAAAAATGCTTATACGCGTTTAACGGAGAGATAAGACGCCTCAATACGTAATACAGAGAGAGAGAGAGAGAGCCAAAGAGCCACATATATTTGAAACATTTGCTCAATGTGTATTTCCCAAATATATAAACAGTTTATAAACAAAAGTAAATGCATTTTCCTTTATACAAATAATTCTTTTATATTATCTATTATAACTTTAATGAATGAAAGAGTGTCTGAATGCCGAACAAATAAAACTCAATTTTTGTTGAATATGCAAACATCTCAAAGATATGCATAAGTATACAAGACTTTATGCTGATTCAGCTATTTGTTTGTTCAGTTTTTAATTTTATGCATGCGCCATCATATAAAATCATGTTTTGCAAAGAATCTCTAATCTATTTATTATTCCATTTAATTAAGACAAAGACTTAAAACTCTTATAACTAAAAAACTATTAGCTAAACAGTAGAAGAGTTCTTCTAATTAATTGTTTGGTTAAAATACTTTCGCGACTCTTCAGTTTGGTTCAATATCTTGATAACGAATTCACTTGCGTACAGGGTATCTTATAGTTAACGCTCTTAAGTACTACTTAGTTCTGCCTGCTTGGGGCACTTGCTTCACACACTTTGATGAGCTGCCGCAGCTTAATTGATTAATTAATGAAATTTAAAGGCGCTTAAAGCCAAGTTAGAAATTTATTAAGACATGAGTTTCTGGAGTGTCTCGGCCTCTGGCTTCCGATCGGCTTCAGCTGCAGTCTTTGCCTTGGCTGTCCTTAGGAAGTCAAACATGCGATCTTCCCTACCGAACTGCTCGCCCTCGGCCAGGGAGATGGGAAGCTTACGATTGCCCGTCTCCGGCAGGAGTAGGCACAAATAGGCACAGATGAAGAACAGCAGGCACAATATTATCCAAGGACCAGCTCTGTAGTACGTGCCCAGGTGCAGGATATACGGCGAAAGCAGAGAGGCAGCCGCGCCGGCCACATGGGCCACGGCCAGACCCCGCGAACGCACGCAGGTGGGCACCAGCTCTGTGGAGAACAGCAGTGTCGAACCAAAACAGACCGACAGCCCGAAGCGGGAGGCCATCGTCAAACTGATCAACAGCACGGCGCTGGGCTGCTGCCAGACGGACAGGACTATGCCGCTGGCAGCTGTAAACAAGCCAGTGAGCAGTATCGAGAGCACCGACGAGCCCTTGCGGCCGATGCGCTTCTGGATATCGGCCTGGATCAGGCCCGAAGGCAGCAGCGTTAAGGCGGTCATTGAGAACATAATAAATGGCGATATGCCTAGACCCTCCACGTTGCGGGCCAAGGTGTTATAACAGACCGATATGATCGTGCTAGAAGTAGTAGAGGAAAGCATACGATCAGACTTTTGTGAGAGCTACGCGCGATATTTCACTTACAACACGATCAGCATTGTGATTATGGTTTTGCGCAAATGCGGCGTCTGGAACATGTCCATGAGCTTGTCCTGATTCTCATTGGTTTCCTGTGCTTTCCTGGTGCAGTTAATCTGGCAATAACTGCGAAAGGCGTCCAAGTCCGCTTCACAGATGCTGCGACGATTCATTTTGGCCACACGCCGCAGACGCAGCACCGCGCCATCGATGTCGTTGCGTGTGACCAGCCACTGGGCGCTCTCCTGCACCAGAAAGTAGAACAGTGTGACCAGCAGCAGCGGCAGTGAGGAGCAGGCCAGAAACCCACGCCAATTGCCCACCAAGATGGCCAGCCCACAGGCACTAATCATTCCCAGGCAGTAAAAGATACCCATACTAATGCTCAGACCTGCATTTCGCAGCGAAGGCGAGATGTATTCGAGAGCTGCGAGAGATAAGTTGGCTTAGGCCCAGCGAAAATAGTGCAGATTAGAGCACAGCTCACCCAGAATATACATAAGATAGGTGTTGGCATCAACTGCGAGCCCCGAAACGAAACGTGTTACGGAGAAGGCGGCCAGACTCTCCGTGAAGATCGTTAAGAAGTCGCCCAAGAAGCCGCACCAATTGGCCAAAATGACGGCCTTAATGCGTCCAATTCGATCGCCCAGCAGCCCAAAGACGAGCGTGCCACACATGGAGCCCACAAAGAAAAAAGATTGTCCCACGGGTGCCTTATAGGCCTCATCACAGACCCAATTAAGCTGTGCGGAGGAATATCCAGCCAGATAAGATAATGGCAATGGCAATGGCAATGCAATAAAAACTAGCCGTAACTCACCTCGGTGTTCATGCTCCTAAAACCAAAATCATAGTTGTAAATCCACCGATCACATCGCTCCCCACTGATTGTCGTATTCCGCCCATCCAGATCTGAACCGATTGTCGCCAGACGCGTACACGAGGGTTTCTCAAACTGATTATAGATGGCCTCGATCTCTGCGTAGCTGCGATTCTCCAGCTGCTCGTGGTGGCACCAGTGATCGGGCACAAAGCCGATCACGTTCTGGGAGAAGTTGTGCATTGACGTGACAAACATCAGCACGCTATAGAGTCCAAGCAGCAGATATTGATAGCGATGGCTATTGCCGCACTTGGCCAGCAGCTCATCGAAGTCCATGGCGTAGTCTAGAGGCTTTGCGCGCTCGGCTCCGTCTTCCGATTGAGATTCAGCGTTTGGTATGATCTGCGCGAATCGTATGTGCGCTGCGTCTGGAGCTAGGGCCAATAGAGAATCGGTCGTCAGCTCTCGCCCGATGCCACGCACGTACTGGCAGCTGACGTGCGCGGCAGCGGCCTCTTTGCCGAATAGCTAAGAGCGGGTTACCAAGGCAGCTGATGTGTTCGACTCTAACGAATTTGTGCGCTCCGCCGTAGCTGGAATTCCTCTCCAGCCTTTCCTTGGCTGATAAGCGCTCAATGCAATATCAGCAAAATGAAAGGCGCGATTTTACTAACTTATAATCGCATTGATTATATTATATCAGTATATGTGATGGGCATTCTCGTAATTTGAACACGCTTTCCACTAATAGACAGTTGGGTGTCAAGCTTTTTATAAGATAAGAGTTTGGGTTTGAAGCATCTACTTAGAATTATCTTGCAACTAATTATAATCTGTTTGCAGTTGCCCATATGGCAGACAGCATCTAAAATGGGATTAAAGAATAATTCAAAATATAAAAGCTTTGATAACATACTTATTTGTCCAACATAGAAGAGCTCCCATAACCTAGTCAAGGTTGCAAGCCGGTTTTGAACCACAGACCAAGTTGACTTCATTTTTTTGTGTGTATTTATGTATTTATATGATAACTACCTCCACTGCGCTGCAATTTGAAAAATATGTATTTTTATATGTAACCTTTCTAGGCGATTCTCATAAATGAAAATAGAACTTGCATTTGTTTGTCAAATCGACCAAAAGCATTATTTTTTTATTTTGATCCTGAATTCATAAAATACTTAGAGTATATCATTCTTTAATTAAATGTTGTATATTACCAAGCTGTGTTGTATTATAATTTCATTTAACACTGTCTTTATTTTCGCTCCAATTTATTGCACTCTGCTCTTTTTCTCTCTCTCACACATTTGAAAATAATCTTGCTTGTGTATGTGTATTTTTCGTAAGTACATCTCTATATTAAAACTATTTGTTCTGACTGACTGACTAAATGATTGACTGACTGGGTGGTGAACAACGCACAGCCCAAGCCATAAGAGCTAGGAAGCTGAAATTTTCAATGATTTTTGAGTAAAATGTCTTAAGTTTTGTCCGATTGGCTTCAAACTTATTTACAAAGCCATACATAAGAACTTAATGGATACGTGCTTGACAGATTTTAGAAGTCCGATCAGCTTCAAACTCTTTTTCAAAGATCTTCGAAGGTCAAACGTTGATTGGGTGAAGGTCTGAATTCGTCCTATCGGACTCAAACTTATTTTCCAAGCACAACATAAAAATATAGTGACTAGTGACTAAATATTTGTGAAAATTTATTTGATAGGTTTTTCGCAAAATCCACCACTCTTAGATGGAAAATGCGGGTCAAAAGTTTAATGAAGAAACTTTTATTTTTCCAGATTCTCACCAAGAGACTAACATTGACTAATTCGTTGGAATTTTAAACTAATTTTCAAATATCTCGGTCAAATTTAACTTAAGTCGTAAAGTTCAAGATAGTACAGGTGGACTTAAATTTTCCACGGACGGGAAAGTGGATAAAACAAATTATTTCAACAATTTTGAGCATAAAACGAGCCACGGGCAAGGCCGGAGAGAACCCGCCATATGGATTTATGTTTGTATGTATATATGTAAGTATGTATGTATGTATGTATGTATGTATGTATGTATGTATGTATGTATGTATGTATGTATGTATGTATGTATATATGTATGTATGTATGTATGTATGTGTGTGTGTATGTATGTGTGTGTATGTATGTATGTATGTATATATGTATGTATGTATGTATGTATGTATGTATGTGTGTGTGTGTATGTATGTATGTATGTGTGTGTGTGTATGTATGTATGTATGTATGTATGTATGTATATATGTATGTATGTATGTATGTATGTATGTATGTGTGTGTGTATGTATGTATGTATGTGTGTGTGTATGTATGTATGTATGTATGTATGTATGTATATATGTATGTATGTATGTATGTATGTATGTATGTGTGTGTGTATGCATGTATGTATGTATATATGTATGTATGTATGTATGTATGTATGTATGTGTGTGTGTGTGTATGTATGTATGTATGTGTGTGTGTGTATGTATGTATGTATGTATGTATGTATGTATGTATGTATGTATGTATGTATGTATGTATATATGTATGTATGTATGTATATATGTATGTATGTATGTGTGTGTGTATGTATGTATGTAGTATGCATGTATGTATGTATGTATGTATGTATGTATGTATGTATGTATGTATGTATGTATGTATGTATGTATGTATGTATGTATATATGTATGTATGTATGTATGTATATATGTATGTATGTATGTATATATGTATGTATGTATGTGTGTGTGTATGTATGTATGTAGTATGCATGTATGTATGTATGTATGTATGTATGTATGTACGTGTGTGTGTTTGTTTGTGTGTGTATGCATGTATGTACGCATGTATTCAAGTAAGTCGCATAGAATTCATTTCAAGAGGAGAAGACGGCTTAGTACTGGAGGAGGCGGATTCACGTAAGAAGGAGGCAGTGGCTATGGCTTTGGCGAAGGAGGCGGCATCATTTTAAATGCGGCCACTAAAAAACAGGTACGTATTACAAATATAAATAAGTCTTATTACATGTAACAACTTTAACAATAGTATACCTGCATGTATCGTTGTATGTATTTGAATCCATGCACATGCATGTATGTATGCTGTGTTCAAATATGTGTGTACGTTGAGCTGACCTGAAACTGAACAAGAAACGTATTTATAAATAGTTCTCTGCTACGCGATTCTCACTAATGCAAGTAAGCTTAAGCAAGCAAGCTGCGCTTTAAAGCAAATTTCAGTGATATGTTTAAAAGTTCGTCTCCCTCCTACTAATAGATGACCATTAAGTATTTGTTTGTGCGAATTCACAGGTGAGTACATAATTACAAATGAATATTTATCTCCCTGTGTGTCCTGACTGACTAACTGGTGGTCAACGCACAGCCCAAACTATAAAAGCTCGGAAGCTTAAATTTTCACTGTAGTTACCTTTTGCGATAGAGGTGTACGCCCAGACGCAAGTGTGAAAAAATAGCTAAAACGTGTCCATGAAACCTATTTGCTTACCATCATCTTTGTTCAAATTGATTTGAGGGGTGTCCCTCAACACTTATTTCATACGTTTTTCGCAATTTCCACCGCTCTTGGATAAAGAATGCAAGTCAAAGGTTTATTGAACGAAGGTTTATTATTCAGCTTCAAGATTCTCAACACAAGGCTAACGTGGACAGAAACCGTTGATTCCACTTTGTGATTTTTTATTCGATGAACCTTAAACATAATTTCAAATTGAAATGGATTGCAAGTTGGTGCGGGTAGATTTAGATTTTCCACGGGTGAGAACTGGGTGAAAAAGACATCCCAAATTTTATGCACAATGCTTGCCGCGAGCAAGGCCGGGTAATAACTGCTAATATTTATGTATTATTTGCTCATATTTAAAACATTTTTAGATAATCTTGAACTTCTTTCACCTAAATATATTTTTCTTAATTAGACTCCCATGAACATTCGTCCTTGCAATGGGCTGCACGTTAAGGGGTGTTATATATAAATTTATTTAGAACTTTTTCCAGGGATTGATATTTTTGACGCATTAAACAATTCTTAAAAAAAATGCATTATAGTTTTTGTAGCTATTTTAAGAGAATAATAGTCCATCTTATAAGAACATTAATACTAAGCAAACATTTATTTTATTTATCGACCTCCTTGGATTTCAATTCTGTTTCGAGTTCCACTTCGGTAGAGTCCTGCTTTCGTAGTTGGCGCAGAAAATCAAACATTCGCTCGCCCTTGCCGAACTCCTCCCCCTCGGCCAGAGACATGGGCAGCTTCTTGTGGCGCGTCTCGGGCAGAAGCAAGCACACATACGCCCCAGATAAAAAGAGCAGGCCGATTATAATGGAGGGTGCGGGCTTCGCGTACGTGCCCAAATGCAGTATGTATGGCGATAGAAAGGAGGCCGCAAAGCCGGCTACGTGTGCCACGGCCACGCCACGCCCACGCACGCAGGTGGGCACGAGCTCGGTGCAGAGCTGGGAGCTGGCACCGTCGGCAATCGAAACGCCAAAACGTGCCACAAGCGTCAGACCCACCAAGAGAAACACATTACGATTCTCGCCCTGCGATATGACCAGACCCGCCGCCGTGGCAAACAGGCCCGTGATGGCCATCCAGCTGACCGCGGTCGCCTTGCGTCCGGCCACATCCTGCAGCAGTCCCTGCAGATAGCCCGAGGGCGGCAGCATCAGCGCGTTCAGCGAGAACATGATGAACGGCGAAATGCCCAGCCCCTCCACATTGCGTGCAATGGTATTATAGCAGGGTACCACGATGACGCTGCGGGCGGTACAAAGATCGGTTATGATTGGATTATGCCACGAACCTCTCGCTCCCTCACTTACAAAATGAGCAGCATTTTGAATGCGCTGCTGCGCATGCGCGGCGTCTTCAGCATGTCAAGCAGCTTGGCCTGCTGCTGCCCCGATGCGCCCGTATCCGCCTTGCGGTAGTGCTGCTGGCAGTAGCTGCTGAACGCCTTGAAGTCCTCATCGCTGACCACGCGCCGATTGATTTTTGCCACGCGCCGCAAACGTAGCACAGCGCCTTCGATGTCGTTGCGTGTGACCAGCCACTGGGCGCTCTCCTGCACCAGAAAATAAAACAGTGTGACCAGCAGCAGCGGCAGCGAAGAACAGGCCAGAAACAGACGCCAATTGCCCACCAGCACAGCCAGCCAAGAGGCGCCAATCAGGCCCAACGAGTAAAACAGGCCCAAGACCGTGTTCAGACCCACATTGCGCAGTGAGGGCGACACATATTCGATAACTGTTCAAAATAAGTTTATTCAGCTGGCAATTGGAATTGGAATTGGCAATAGGTAATATAAGTACCCACTTACCCAGTATGTACATCAGATACGAGTTGGCGTCGGCGGCCAGGCCAGAAATGAAACGTGTTATGGAGAAGGCTGTCAGACTGCCCGTGAAGATGGTGGAGAAATCGCCCAAGAAGCCACACCAATTGGCCAAAATGACAGCCTTAACGCGTCCAATTCGATCGCCCAGCAGCCCAAAGACGAGCGTGCCACACATGGAGCCCACAAAGAAAAATGATTGGCCCACACGCGCCTTGTACGCCGCATCGCAGACCCAATTGAGCTAAAAAAAAAATACTCAATAGAATCTTTGCACAATACTTTTTTGTTCTGCGTGCACACTTAAAACATATCACTACAGTGAATACTCGTGTTAGACGTACCTCGGTGTTCATGCTCCTGAATCCAAAGTCATAGTTGTAAATCCAGCGATCACAGCGCTCCCCACTGACTGTCGCGTTCCGCCCATCCAGATCTGAACCGATTGTCGCCAGACGCGTGCACGAGGGCTTTTCGAACTGATTATAGATGGCCTCGATCTCTGCGAAACTGCGATTCTCCAGCTGCTCGTGATGACACCAGTGGTCGGGCACAAAACTGATCACGTTCTGGGAGAAGTAGTGCATGGAGACGACCACCATGAGAAAGCCATAAAGCCCCAGCAGCAGATATTGATAGCGATGGCTGTTGCCGCACTTGGCCAGAATCTCATCAAAGTCCATGTTGCGCTCCATGATCTCTCTTTAGCTGCTTTGCTGGACTTCTGATAAGCGCATATCTGTGGCGCTGGCATTTATTTGTGCTTGGTGTTTGGTGTGTGAAAGCTTTTCGGCAGGTAAAGTTGAACCGGCACTCAAAGCTAATCACCGAACCGTTTTATTGCATTGCGCACATTGCGAACTCAATTGAATTACAAAGCAAACCCGTTCCGGTCGTATTCTATTGCCGTGGAGTGTACTAAGCGAACTGGTTGTAGCTGCCACGCGGAGAGAACTACATATATGAAGTCGGAGCAGTGCGCAGGCTAATTGAGACTGAATGTAATACAGTCAAAAAGTCACTCTCCCTCTTGCTCTCTCTCTCTCTCTCTCTCTCTCTCTCTCTCTCTCTCTCTCTCTCTCTCTCGCTCTCTCTCTGTCTGTCTGTCTGGCATTTGAATTATGCGAACATATATGGTACATAACCATTCCATATCTGAAATTTAGTTAGAAATCAAAAAATTGATACTGGTCGATTGAAAAGAATGCGCACGAGACTTTTAGCAATTGTAGGAATATAGTATGCCCTTTCAGAGGGTGTTTCACAATTTTGACGAATTACATCGCTACCTCAGCTCTCAAGATTTGGCTAAACTCTGTCGATCAATCTCCCGTTTTATAGACTACTAAGTCTGAAACTTTAAAGCTTTTTAAAACTTGACACAGATGTTATTTTCTTAGTCACACATTCTAGAGAAAACTAGGTACATATGGTTAGTATATATAATAATATCGCTACCTCAGCTCTCAAGATTTGGCTAAACTCTGTCAATTAATCTTCCGTTTTATAGACTATTAAGTCAGAAACTTTAAAGCTTTTTAAAACTTGACACAGATGTAATTTTCTTACTCACACATTCTAGAGAAAACTAGCTATATATGGTGCCTAATAAAACTGGACACAGATGTTTGCTATAGAAAAGAGTTCCCTTTTGAAGTTTTCCTTAAATCTATATCAGGCCGTTTAGCGTATAACGAATATAGCGAATATAATGTAATTCTTCAAGTTTTTATCCTCAGACAGATTCAGTTTTGATAGCAGTCAGGCAACTTAAAGGGTATTTCATGTTCGGCATACCTCGCTGCTAGAAATGCCAGAAAATTTTCAATTAGTTTAAATCATTGCCACTTTATTGATGGCTCTGATTTATGAATTGCAAATAAAAATAAATAAAAAACACAGTTAAATTAATTTTTTTTATAGATTTTATTTTTGTCTTTTCATTTTGTTGTTGTTGTTGTTTTGTTTTTAATAAGTATGTTGTCTTCAATTACAATTGCTATTTAAATGGATATACGCTTAAATTTCTCGCCTTTTGAATAAGTAATAGTATATGTATTTTTTTTAACGTTGAATCATTTTCTGATGATCAACTTTGCTTTTGTTTTCAAATTGGTTTTTATAAATGTAGTAAACGCATTTTGATAACAATATACGATAAGTTCTATGTGTAGACAATTAATTCAATACAATCATACGCTGGCTTAGTTTATATCAAAAGTCCTGTACATACATTACATGCAATCTGGGTGTTAACTAAATTTCACAAATTAACAACTAAATTGTATAGCTGCTGTCTAATACGAGTTTCATAAAATTAGTTTGAGAGTACAAATAAGTAAGCATAGTGCATAATAATATTAAACTTACAACGAATTTTACAATCGATGCACACAATCAACTAGATATAAATTATGCTCAAATCAATATAGTAGTGGGGTATACTTTAGTAAATCTCTAAATCTAGTTATAGCTATAAATAGGAGAAAATCAAACAATTTACATATGGGTCTGACCTAGTACAGTTCATACAAATTTACGTGAACAACATGTGCATACATCATTCCGTATTGCTTAAATCATGTCTTTAGATATAGTACATGCAAACATACATCACCTTAAATACATACAACTATATGCTTTCAATGCGCTCTGTCAAGATTTTACCGCGTGCCTAACAGTTGCGTAGACTAGCTAAATAATGAATCAAACAAAAAACATCCGCCCAAATGGATATATATGTATATATGTATATATAACTATATAATAATGCCGCTGCATGAAAATTTAAGTGCAACATTCAATGCTATCATAGAAAAACTCTGCCTTGTCTGCGTTTGGATCTTGCGCTTGTTCTTGTTCTGATTCTGACTCCGATTGCTCCTCAAAGTCATCTACATCGTAGGATATTAAGGATTGCAGACTCTCTTCGAGCAGCTGCGGCTTATGCTGCACATGATGCACCTTGAATGCGTTGGCATCATTTGGGGGCGTGCCAAACCAAATGGCGCACTCGCCATCCGCACCATGGTCATCCTCAGCAAAAGCTGGCGCTGGCATTGGTGGCGCCCCAATCGAATCGCTGTAACCATAGTCGAAGGTCACCAGCAGATTGTCGCTGCCGCAGTCCATCGAATCGGGCGTTGTGTATTGCGTGTAATACGAATCGTAAGCCGTCTCCTCGGACACATCGGCTTCATCGCTTGGCAGCTCTTTGATATATGTTAGGGGTTCCATTAAAACGACATTGTGCCTGTTGTTGTTCTTATTGTTGTTGTTGCTCGTTTGCCATAAATGCCAATTGTTGTTATTGAAACGGAAATTTGGCTTACGAATGAAATTTGCCAAATTCTGTGCATCAGAGTTTTAAATGGAAGAGCAAAAGAAAATAGAATATCAAAACTTTAGTTGTCAGCGATTTTAAGGCAGAACAGAAAACACAAAAACAAACACAAGGCATAAGGTAGGATATAAAATTGTTTATAATGTTAGACAAACACAAAATCTTGTTGAGCATTTAGCGATAGAGTTAGGAACCACAACCATTGTCTAGGTATTTTAATTAGCACAGAGCGTCCAATATGTACAATATATTAGCTGGAAAATCGTTAATGTTCTCCAAAGAAAATGCTAATCATTTCGAAAATGTGCTTACTTATGACCAGTTGGTAAATTTGTTGGTTGCCTGCATTGGAAATTAGAGAGAGCGAGAGAGAGAGTGTAGGTATGTGTGTGTGTGTGTGTGTTTGTCTGGGGGGCTGGGTGGTTGGATGTGTGTAGAAATTGGCTAAGCTACTGAAAAAGCTACAAATACAAGAGTACAACCAAAATGTAAGCCAATATGCTTGCTGTTCGTTGGTTCAGTTTCAGTGTTGTATAAGCAAATAAAGCAGTGTTGTGCAGGGCTGTATATTGTTTTGTTTTGTTTTTTTTGCGAAGGGTGGTAGCTTAACCTACAAATATGAAATTACAACAAAAGAGAGACTTACGCGTATAACAAATTTGCGGCAAAGTGTCTTAGTTCTTTGTCTATAAGAAAAACAGACAAACGATTTACAACAGAACTAGCTCAGTTAGCTCTCCACGCTTTTGTTTGAGGCTGTAGCTGAGCTGAGCTGAGCTTGAGGCTTGGAGCTGGGCGCGTTTATCCTGACATTGGCATCGTCTGTTCGCTGTCCGTTACCAAAATAATCTCCCGTGTGACGCACGCGTTTGGAATGTTGCTTTTATGTTAGCATTTTCATTTGCAGCATGCAGCTTAAATTTTCACCACCAACGTCAATCAATCAATCAATCAATACACCACCATAGTCCATATGTATATATATCTCATTAATTTACATGTTTATCCAACGTATCCGGTTAGGTATGTTGCAGTTAGGAAGAGTTTTTTTTTTGTTTCACAATTGGTTTTAGTTACAGTTTTCAATAGGCTGTTTGTTGGATTGGTTTGGTTTGGTTGGTTGTTGGGTGGGCATGATATATATAGGTATATATATATATATATATATATATATATATATTTTTATATTTTTATTGAGGATTTTTGTGGTACGGGCAGTTTTGAATATACAAAATAGAAAAACGTGTGAGTTTTTAACAACAGACGGGTAAACAACATATTTGTTTGTTGGGTTTACGTTTTTGTTTTTTACATGTGGAGTAGACATACATAGAGCGAGAAAACGCGCAGAAAGAAAAAAAGTAAAAGTAAAAAGAAATTACGGCATTAGATACAATTATTTGGTGTATACAACTTTGTTTTGTTTTTCTAGCAAAGTATGAGTTTTGACCGTGATTTCTGTATGTGTGTGTAAAATATGTTTTGAGTACATTGAGGTTAGTTTTGAGCGCTGACCAAGCTGAAAATGAAACATGGCAACAATGATGATTATGATGATGATGACGATGATATATGGAAATATATGTTGGGCAAGAATTTAAAGGCAAGCTGTGGGCGTGGCCTAAAACAAAATTTCGCGCATGGCAGCAACTGCGGCTTAGCAAAATTAAAGTTCCAAATTATGTTGTTGTTTTTGTTTATATTTCTTAATATATATGTGTATATGTATGTGTATGTTGCGTATATAAGCATATGTGTTATATATGTATTAGACCATGATCATAATAAATGATTAATTAGCATTTAAATTAGGCCAAATTGGTAAGTAAGTGGTACGTAGATACATCAACTTATAGTATAGATAACAGAAATCAGTTTTAAACACATACACGCAAAATAATAATAGTTACAATTAATGCTTAGCACACATACACACACGAATGAGTAACTGCCTGATAGATAGGAGAAGTACAACTTATAATAACGATATTTAAATATATATATAATGATAAACAATTTACATGATTTTCGCATAACGTGGTACGAGTACGAGTATGATTTATATGGTAAATGATGTTGCACTTAAGCGTTTTATACTTATATAGGCATTGTTTTACGAGTATGTACAAAAAAAAATAATAATATATGTTTATATATGTAGAAAGAAGTGAATACATATGTAGTTGTGGCGCGTGCAATTGTTGTTAATTAAATATAGCGACAGCTGCGACGACTAATTTGCATAGCTGCTCCGCTCCAAGGCAAGGCAGTGGAGGTGGCACCTTTCACTCTGGTCAATGACCAAATAAACCAAAAAAAACAAAAAAATGTAATAAAACTGATAAGACGCTGCCTTTGCTTGATAAGCCCTTCCATGGCAGGCGGGTGCTGGACGAGGGTGGGGGCTAACAGTGAGGGGGGAGCGGCATAGGTTGGGTAAGGTCAGGCACGCTGAGGGCAAGTCGAAGTGCGACGAGAAGGGTTTTCTGTCTTTTCTGATTAACTTTTTTTGTTGCTTGCATAGGCACGACAAGAGTACACAATCTATTGATCCAACGATCGTTAGTTAGATATACACATAGTTCTATATAGTAGATTATATATATATAA